AGCATGGATCCTCATTCAGCCTAATAATAACCTGGTAATAGGTCATCCTACGATGGGAATTATCGATTGGCTAGATCTGAAGCATTTGCTTTTAGAAGCCCTAAGGGATTAGGGGGAAAGCATTCATGATATTCAGATAGCATCAAAAGCAGCAGCTATAGCTAATGGAGATAGAAGAGGGTCAAATTCTCTGCATCCATTTACCCCAACAGAGAGCTTGGCTCCGAAGCCACTGGGAGGGGAAAGAGAGTAATCAACCTGCTGAATGCCAGTTAAATGATGTAAGCAGACTCCCATAACCTGCCGTTATTTTTACCCACTGCCTCTCAGCCTTGGTCACAACAATGGCAAATTAATGTTTCTTAGTTTACTCTAAACTTTGAGATCCTTGGATAAGGGTGCTATAAACAAATTATTATAATTTATTATTCAGTTTCCCCTATTCTCCTGTTCTGCTTATTGGGAGGGGGGAAAATGCACCAGACATATTGACTGTGTACTGTTCTGTTTTGATGCTTTGCCAAATGGGGAGCTATTTCATGAACTTGCCTTCCAAGTCTTGCAATATTAGTCTGTTTTGTTTTCATATACTAAAGGAGTAACAGTCTCCACAATAACTACTGTGGGGTTGTCCCTCCAGTGATGTGCATAGTAAATGATTTGTTCTGTCTGTCAGTGTTTTAGCAATATCAGTATTGATTGTTTAACGGAGTACCAGGCCTACTTAGTCCTTTCATCTTTTAAATGGGGTTCTGATACTTTTCCGTTGTATTTTCCATGTGTAATCCTTTATGCTAGTGACTAATTATGATCCCCTTATAAGTTTATACCTCTGGAAAACAGATGTTACTTATCAGAGCGATGCAATTCCAAGAGAAATGTGGCTTTGATTTAGAGGTAGAGGTGTGAGGGTTGATGGGCAGTTGGAGGGGAAAGGGTTCAAATCGAATTCTTTGGATTATGTTGGATTTCTATTTAAAAGGCTGTATTTGTCTGTAAGAAAATTGTGGACTGGTTTCCGTCCCTTATCATTAATCCTAAAATGTTAATAAATTCAAGTATTTTTTCCTGTTTAAGTAAAAAAACCTTTTTGTTTAATAGGTAAGGTAGAGTGGGGGCTTCTTTAATTTCTTTCCATTTCTTATTTACACCAGTTTAGAATCTTAAGCATTGATAGAGTGGCCTATGGGAGTTGGTCCGAGCATAACTGAATCTATATTCGGGTAAGAGGATCTCATTTCTCCTTCCCCTCTGAGTTGGAGCCACTGGCATACCTTGAAGCTCTCTGAGACAGTGACTGTGGCTTATTATATGTTTACACAGTAGGGCCCAACCTCACTGTGCCTGTGGGTGCTATTGCAATATAAATGTTTAATAATACAAATCCCTATTTATTTTTTCCAGAGTGCCTCACTACAATTTTGAAGTAGGGGAGGAGTATCCAATCCATTCTTTCCTTAGAAACGTGCCTATTTTTTTTTCATTTACACCACTGTAAATCAGGAATGACTCCACTGCAGATAAGGGAGTTACACCAAAAAATGAAGGCAGAACTGGGCCCTGAATCTTTAAAGAATTTCTCAGAAGAACATCCTTCAGAGAGTGTCATGAGGAGAAGAACACTTTTTGTCTTTTATTGTTGGAATGAGTTGAGTTGGACTCTGTGCTGCAGGAATAAACACCAACTGCTCCTGTTTGAAAGACCCTTTTTTCTCTCTCTCATTTTAGAAATTCAGATCCTTACATTCCTTGGAATACAATCTCCGTGTCCTAGTTAATGTCACTTGTATATGGGCTGCGTCCAGCTAGATCTTGAGTACACTTGCCCATATCCAGCCAAGCACTTAAGCATGTGCCCATGAAGCATGTGCTTAAGTCCCATGTGACTTCATGTGCTTAAGTGCTTTGCTGGGGCAGAGTGCTCAGCATCTTGCAGGATCCTGTTCCTGGACAGGGATCAGGACCTCCATATTATAAGCTTGTGCAGCGGAAGGATATATAAACATTTGAGAAATATTCTGGCATTTGTTGAATAAAATATTCAGATTTTATTACATAAGATTTAGCTTCAGCATCACACCAACTAATCTTGCTCTCTGTTGGAGCTTGTCCTCTGTTTCCTTTCATGTGTCACTTCTGCCTGTTCAATCAGCAGAATCCGGCTTTGTGTGCTGGGTCAGTCTGAGTTTAGTGGACCTCCAAAGTGCATCTTTCAGCAAACCTCTTCAGGATGTCGCTAAGGATCAGGCAACTAAGTAAAGTGCTTGAGACCAGAAATGCAGTCAACGATTAGGCTTGGAAAAATACAAGGAGAGCACAAATTGAGATCAAACAGCATGTACAGAAACAGGAACTAAATGAACTGGGAACAATTTACAAGTGATATTTATTAGGAGTGTGCATTTCCTGCAAGTAAACACAGCATCCTCAAGAGGGAAAGAGCTGCATCTAATAGAGATTTTGCAAGCTCCAACTACAGGAAGAAGTGGTGGATGAGTGCACAGTTGTTGATGCATCTTCTCTGCTCAGTGGTTTAACATCAAGTGGAGAACTTATAAAGCAGTCCGTGTGTAACTGCAGTGTGTGAAAAGTTAAAATCTGCGGTCTTTGGACTGCTCGTCTGTTGAAACCAAAGGCATCAGAAATAAATTAACCAACTATCCAGGCACAGTTCTTGGATATATGAACAAGAGCTGTATCCTGTGATGCGTTTCAGTGCACAGCTGTGCAGATTTCTTGGATAGAGGCCCAGGACCAGGCAATTTGTAATAACGGATCACTGGCGGCTATTTCCTCAGAAGGTTGTCCCTCAGAGGCACAACAGTGCACATGTCATGAGCAGCAGCTGTCGTGGCATGCAGGCAATGATATGTGAGTCTACCCTCCTGTGATCGTTACTCCATATGCCGTGTGGATGCAGACAATTGAAAAGCAAAGCATGAAGCAGGTTTTGGATTGGTTTGATTTTGGTGTCTGAAGTTAGTTTTATCAAGGAAAATGCTAAGTGCAAAATTGGTTGGAGAGTTGTTAACGTTTTGGCTATCTCATAATCTGACCCTCTCCACCACCACCACCACCCTTCCCCCTCCGACCCCCCTCCCCACAGCTAATTGTGAAGTGTTGAGATTCTAAGATGTTGAAAGGCACAGTGCTGTGAACACTCAATGTAATGCTGTTTATGGCATTCTATTATAATGCAAAACTGGAGATGTGGTAGATATCTAGTTTACAAGCTGTTTACACTCTAAATTGAGAAGCCATGTTATCATCTGCACATATGCTTTTGTCTTACATCTTCTAAGGCAAATACAGTATATTGTTTTTTGGCAATATCCATAAAGTATTACCAAAGCCAAGAAGTTTGCATGTGATGCATTGTCATTTCTCTCAGCCAGTCAAGCTGATGTCCTGGTTGGGCTTGGAAAGCAATTAGGAACAGATACACAGCAATGGCATTTCAAGGTCCAATCAGACCCTGCATAATTATGTATACTTGAATTGTTAGTTAGCTGTATGTTCTGGAATCATAAAACTGATCCAAATAAATTCAGCAAGCCCTAAGCCACAGTTAAATAAGCTTGTTTCTTAAACTGCCTATTCCAAAGAGTAAAGACCTCTGTTCTCTCATAGAGGGTAGGAAAACTCTGACTCCATGAAACCATGGGGGTTCTTTTTTACAAGAAGGCAACTGAAGAAGGCTCATTGCTTAGTAGAACTGCCATATGCAGTTAGGTTGGCAAGAAGCACGTTGTCCAAACATTTTTTTTTCAATGTCTTGCATGCATTTCAGTCTTCATAGGTGGTCTGTCTAACGGTCATCTAGTGTAATCCACTTGTAAATAAGGTGCCATTTTTATTCTTGCTGTAAATATAGTGAAACTTGCTCTAAGGAACCACCTCAGTAGGTATTTTAAGCAACTACTTTAAAGTACCCTGAAGGTTTCCAGTTCCATCTTCTCCAGCCTTTAGTTAAACCATCCGTGTTAGGCAACTGTTTTTGCTGGTCCCTGGAGGTTGCTTACGGTAGTTTCAACTTCATTGCCTTCACTCCCCTGAAATCAAACCATCTTTTTGTTGTTTAGCTTCCCACCATCCTCACAGTGGCTTAGCATATGTGGATGATTCATTTATTCTTTGCATTGCATTGCTTGATTACTTTTTTCTGCCTCTATAACCTTGTTTTCATTTTCACAAAAACTTATTTAGACTCTAAGATTGTGGTGAATCCTCTATAACCTTTCTGTTTGTTGGAGATCTAGTTATGATTAGATTGTTTGTTTACTTCTAATTCTGAAGTTTAATTATGTTTTTCCTTCTGCCATTGGTACAGGTGCAGCAATTAGATGGCATTAAGCCTGTCTCAAGTTAATTTAAATAGGCTTGTTATTGCCCTTTTTTATATTTTAGGTACTGTAAATAAATCTTTTTTTTTTAAGTGGATTGGATTGAAGTTGATGAATCTTTGGTGTTCTACTGCTTTAGTACTACTGAGAAATTTCTTGCATTGCCAGTATCATGGCTTATTAACCAGTTCAACCCAAACCACCCTCTTCCACTGAGGTTGAAAAAGCCAGAGTTTAAAAAAAGAAAAAAAAGGTAGATGGTGCACATGTACACACATGTGCTCGCTCTCTTTGTTTCACTGTACATTTTGATGTATTCACGTGCATCTTGTAGCTGTTCCCATATAAAGGGAGCTTGCAGAAGTGGTATAATCAACTAAGATAAATGAACCTCAGCAAAGGGGGTGGGGAGAAACAGTTCCAAGATTCCCGGGGCAAAACTGGTTATACGAAGTTGTTTGTGAATGTACTGATCTGGTTTCCTTGGCAACAACTGAGATGAAGGTTGAGAACAGCAGTTGCGTTCAGGGAGCCAGTTCTGTCTATGACAGTAAGGAAGATATCGGTTAATTCCTAGATTTAGCAAATGAGAGCCCTATTTTGAGAGTGTTTGTGTATAGAAGAGCAAGAGAGTAAACTTTCCCCTGTGATTTACAGGAAAAGAGTCTCTTCCACATGTAGACCTCTTCTGTGCAAAAGGAAGTGTCAGCTGCCCCTGCAGCACCATCTCCCTCCATCTTTGGACCTGAAGAGAGCTATCTGAAGATCTCTAGATCCCCATGAGGGGAGAGCATGGACCAGGGCGGGGAACCAGGTAGGCAGGCTTTGTTCAGTCCCTGCGGCAATGAGCTGAGGATCTACAGAGGAGTTAGTGCAGTCTCAGACGACATTAACTCTCAGCTGCTTCCCTCTGTGGTATGGTATGTGGGTGCACATCACTTGCAACTGCTTTTAGTGCATCTTTAAATTTCTAGGAGTCTGGCTAGCTGCAAAACTGCTGCCATTTTCTGGTGCAGCACATTGCAGAGGAAACGTGCATCGTGCACTCTCCTGGGGAATCTTATTTTTATTTCTTTTTGTTTCTATTTAGAGCTGTGGAATGGATTCAGTGGGCGTAAGTATAAATTACTATAGAGTACTTACTCCTTAGTGGAGTGAAACCAGACTCTGGGGTAATATTTCAGTCCTGGTCATGTGTGGAACTCTCAGTAATAGAAATTAATTATGCCGCGTGAGTAGAGACCATTCATCTATGTTCTCCCTTGACATTCGGAACACGTAATGTATTTACTTGATTTAGTGCATGAGGACTGAAGCGTAACAAAGTAAATTTATCTGAGACCCCAAATTTCAGTAGGCGGTTCATTCAGTCCTACCTGAAATAACATTTGGTTTAGGAGTTAAATCTTGTTACAATGAATACTTCATTTTATAAAATATATGCCAAAGTATGTTTTCTTTTCAACTCTCCTGTACTTAACTACTGTCAAAAAAGACATGTATTTTGGTCCTGTGTTTGCAAGAGGACTGTTCACTGACCACTGCAACATTAATCCATTAAGGATAGGAAAGGGGAACAAAAGCGTCTACAAATATTTGAGCAGTCAATGACCTTGAGGATGGAAAGGGTGATGCATAATTAGGAGTAGCAGAATGAAATTAAGAAAAGGAAACTCAGACTGGAAAACCAAAAAAAAATATTTCTTGGCAGTGAGGTCTATCAGGGAAGAAAAAGTTCCAACAGTTGAGACGTAGAAAATTAGACTGAACAAAGAACAAGAAAATCAACTGTTTGTAAGACTCCTGCACTGGCAGATGATGTGTGTTTTCTGTTTCTAACTTATATTATTGTGGCTGATTGAAGTCAAGTAAGTATGACAATTAATGTCAATGAGCCACATTTAGAGGTAAGTCTAAGTAAGTTTAGAGGGGACATTAACTGATGTAACTTACACCTACTTCCAGTAGCCACTCTCCAATGTCTGAGAAAATCTATGCTGAATATGTAACCCTAAAGAGAGTTGGGAGAAAAGGTCCCTTTAACTGCATATTACTTGCTCAGGCAGCTGTTGTTCCTCTCTGCTCGCCAGTCACCTTCTGCCACCTGCCTCCCTTCTGTGACCTGGGCAGGTCAGTCTCTTGAGAGTCCACCCAGCTCTTAGTGATTGTCAGCTCTTAATGACTTTCAGCTCTTAGGGTATGTCTACACTTACAGAGTTTCTGTGCTGTAAGTTTCACCAGTGATAGGGAACCGGTGAAAGTAAAGCACTGGTTTGTGTACTCACTCAGTTCCTCAGGCATCAGAGAGTGTTTACACTACCAGCATTTCCATCGCCGATGAGAGCAGCGCTGTAGGGAAGCTATCCCACAGTGCAGCTCTCTCAATAGGTCTTGTGGGAAGGTGGGGGTGAGCAGAAGGCATTCTGGGTCCCTGCTCAGTGCCCTGTGCTGCCCCATTACTTCCTTGTTTCCTTCGTGGCATTTTTTAAAAAATTCCCTGCTGTCTGGCTGCTTTCCCTGCCATATCTACAAGCAAAGGGAAAGGGAGTTTCAAACTTCCTGGGGCTTACAGGTGGGAGGGGCAGACATCCATTTACTTGGCATCAGAGCAGTGGAGATGCTGGCCAGAGTGGTCACTTTTGGAACTTTGACCCCCATTGATTCATATCCTTTGGAGGCCAAAAGGTGTTTACGCTGGTAGACTGTGTCTTCACTTTCACAACAGCGCAAAAAGAACAGCAGTAAGAGCTATATGCCTCTCGTGAAGGTGGCTTTCTTTTTGTGGTGAAACTTCTGAGCTTCACTGCAAAAAGTCATTAACAAGTGTAGATGCTCCCGCGGTTTTAGCGCAAAAAAAGGACCTTTTTGCACTTTAAATAAGTGTAGACATAGCCTTAGTGAAGCAAGCTGGGCAGAAATGCTGTCCCACGAGTGTTTTCAGCTCTAGGGAGTACTTAACAAAAGACTCCTAATGGAGCCTATTTAGCTCTGTCTTTGAACAGTGGGGAGGAACAGGTTAAACCAGATTGGGGACCCTTAGGGAGAGGCCACACCTCCTGGCTAGGACACCTGTCTCTACCCCTCTTACTTTCACAGGGTTCTGGCATTCGAGCCCCTGGCTTAGCGAGTTCTTTTCAACTGAGGGTGACCCCCTCAATCAGGACCGGCTCAGCACAGTTCTGCTCCCCTTTACTCATACAATAAAGATAACATTAATAACATTACCCCTCATTCAGTACTACAATGATTTGTAACCCAACACCAGCCAAAGCTGATCACTTTGAGCAACACAGCTTCTGTCTGCTGAATACCTTCGCAGAGTAGATGTGTTCATGTAAATATAGTTTGCTCCTGAAGTCTCTCCCCCTCCACAGATAGCTGTCAGGGGAGAGTTCTTTCAGATCCTGCTTACATTAATATGCAAAACAAAAGTGATCCACACTAAGCAATTAGAGTTCAGGCCTGCAAGAGACCGAGTGCCTCATAGCATCAGACCATGAGAGAATATCTTGAATTCAGTACTTGAGCAAAATGAAAGGGTTGGGAAATGAAAATTTACAATCTATTAGCTGGAGTATCAAGACTCCTTTCATGCAGTGTATGAAATACTGCCACTTCAGCCTTTTTAAAATTTTATTGAATAGTCTTCAGTCAGAATCCTTACTCCCCTAGCCAGGAAGGCCAACTGCCAACAAATCATATGATCAAGCTAGTTCACCTTTGCTACCCTTAGCACTAGGGAAGGGCCCTTAGGAGAGGTGGAGAAGTTTCTTGCAGAGTCCCAGGCAAGTTTACTTTTATCCAGACAATTCACCAACTTTCATAAAGAGGTGGAGCAGAGAGCAGCCAGACCCCCATTGACTCATACTGTCCAAAAGACAAGGCGGTAAAGTCTGTTCCACAATGTAACAATTTTTTCTTGCATGGGTGGGTTTTTCCCCCCCCCCCTTTAGAAAACACACATTTTAGAGGAAAGAAAGCAGATAGAATCTGCAGCAATAATAGAATCAACTGCTGTCAACTCTGAGGGGTTTTCTTATTGATGAGGGTACAAGCACTTTCAGATTGAGGGCTGGTTTACCGTTCAAAAAACTGTATTGTAATCAAAGCCTGACACAAGTGTTGTGGTATGACCATTACCACAGCAAAAGCAATATGGACAAGATTACTGGTTGAAAAATATAGTTCATGGGCTTTAGGAAATTAAAGCAAAACAAAATCAAAGAACATCATTTTCGTTAAAATTCTGCATAAGAGTTTAGAGTTGAGATTCTGTGCTGAGCTTCAATTAGGTGCTTTAAACCTTTTTTTTTTTTTTCATCCTGCACTCCTGGAGGCTAGAGCAGCCACAGGCATGGGCTGTGTAAGGACATGACTTCACTGCCCTTGAAGGTGTGATTGTAATGGAGCTAGCACAGGTAACAACAATAGTGAAGCTATGGTGACACAAGCTTATGTTTGGCCTATCAGCCAGAGTACAAGCCCACTGAGTACCCTGGGTATGTGCTTGAATTACCAGTCGGTGCTGAAACCTGTGCCATCACATCTTCTCTACTTTTGTTACCCATACTAGCTAGTTTTAAGCTAGCTTGGGTATGCCTACCTACCACTGCTACAGTCATACCTTCACATGGTGGTGAAGTCATATCCTAAAGTTAGCCTTTCCTGGGCTGTCCTATGGGCTACAGTGCTGGCTGAAAGCTCTGAAGTGCTGTATTCTGCATCCCCTGCCCACCTTGCCCCCGCCCCCATCACAACCCCACCATACTCCCTGTACCCAGCCTTGAGAAGAAGTACACAGAAGGCTGCCTGTCTTCCACCATGCCTATGCAGGGGAATCCTTGCAATGCTCCCTGGAAAATGGCTTTTAAAGTCTTTTTGTGGCTCCATCCCATCTATATGACATAAAGGGACCAAAGCAGGGGTGAAGATCTCACCCTAGATTTTCATCACAAAAACAAGCCATTTTCAGTTGTCGAAAATCAAAAGTTGTTTTCTGATTAAATCCACCCAAATAGCAATGAAAACTAATTGTTTTCTTGCAAAAACTTCCATTTTTGTCAAAATAGCCATGATTTTTCATAAAAAATAACTTAATTTGGCCATGGTGGACAACTTTATTTTATTGCTCAGAGACTCTCTCTAGCCATGAAAGACATTCCTAGAACACAGTCTGGTATGGAGAAATAGTTTCATGTTGTTACGGTGTGTCTGCATGTGCTTGGTAGGAGGTATGTGTGTGCATGTGCACACATACCTCTTCATGCTTTTCTTTATTCCCCTTTTTTCCTTCCTTGTGCATCTCTCTTCTCCTCCTTTTTTCTTCTCCTGTGGGGTGAGACTTTCCCCCTTCACGCTTCATTAGTGCCATTTTCCTTCCTTCCACCTTACTCAACTTTTGTACTTTATTTCCTGTACTGACTTGGTGCTCCCACCTTCCATCTTGCTCTGTCAGCCCCCGCCCATGGGTACATGAGGGCGTGGTACAGACATCCATCCTCATGCAGACCTGGGGGCCTCACAAAGGGGATCTTAATAGTATTGAACATTAAAAAAGGATAATTTAAAATATGAAGACCAAGCAAATTATTCATGGCTTTTTTTAAAAAATAACTCCAGTGATTCGTGCATAAATGGCCGTGATAGCAGACTGACATTTTTGCTCTGTCTTTATAAAGCACTAGTAACTCAGACTGAAATGTCAAGTTCTTGGAAACAATATAGATGAGGTGAAATACTGGAAATTCTTGCTGTGGCATTGAAATTAGTCATATTAGACTTTTACAAAAGATGAATTAATGAGCCTATGGTGATGTGTGTGCCTGTGCAGAGTGTTCACATATTTTGAAACACTGTTAATGGATCCATTTAATATAGTGGACCTCAATGGGGAAGACATTTGAGTCATTTACTTATGGACAGCAAATGCTCTTCCCAGACTGTAGTTACGGGTTTGGAAATTCATTTTTTTTTTCCAGTTATGATACTCAAACAAAAGTTTGTCCGTCATTTGGAAGGTACACACAGGCTTATCTAATATTTAACACTTGTTTATGAGCTAGCACAGCCACCAAAGCAGAGGGAAGGACCCTGAATAAATATTAACAGAATAATTGGAAGGGTGCTGCAGTTAGAAGTAAAGCTACCACTGGAAATCTTTCCAAATCCCAAGGAATCATTTAAACATAGAGTCACAAGGGTACTTCGGTGCCTAGAAAAATCACAGGAACACATTGCGATCACAAATCTTGAGTTAGGCGTCTAAGCTCCCTAGATGGTGAAGGGGCAATTCACAAAAGCCAGCACACCACTGTGAGGGGTATGCACTAAGCCCCACCCCTGTCAGGGAGATAAGTGCCTAACTCTGAAGCTTTACAACTGAGATCGGTACCTAAAGTGGATTTTTTCCACACAGCAGATGGGAGAGGGAAGACCTCCCTTACAACTTTTAGTCCCATGCTCCGGGTACTCAGCTGCTGTTTCCTTCACAGAGAGATGCTGAATGTAGGTTCATTTGAACAAGTGTAACTTTATTAAACCCTCCAGACAGTTCTAGCCTAATTTCTTCCAGCCTAACTCCTTGAATTTCTATTGTCCAGTCAAAAAATAGTCCCGACGGGACCGCTGACTGCAGTTCTACTGTCAAGATACACCTGGTTCAAGCCCCTTCTCTTGGGATTTGAACTGGGATCTGCCACAGCACAGTTGAGTGCCCTAACCCGTGAGCTGTGGGCTAGTCTGTTGTGGGTGGCCTCAATTTCTCCTGTTGAAGCTGTCCTATTGGGGATAAAGTGTTATCACAACAGGGGGGCTCAGTCATGGCTCTTCCACATCCCGGGTGGGTGCAGTAACCATTAGGCAAAAGTCATTTTTGTGTGCGCACTCAGCCAGTGACTCTTATTTATCCACAGTGGAACAACTTCAGCAGGAGAGACTAAAGGAGCCTCACAGCTAAGAGATGGCAAATCCCCATTTAAATCCTCTCTCCTCACAGGTAGGCAGGACTTGACGCCGGGGTCTCTTCTAATGTGAGTACCCTAACCACTGGACTAAAAGTTAGGGGGTGTGCCCTCCCCTCCTTTCCCTCACCATTTTGTGTAAGCGTGCCTATAGAACCTGATGCACTAGGTGAGTTTGAGCACACTTACCAGCTACGGCCCCACAAGCAAGTTTAGTAGAGGAATGCCCTATCATCCCCCAGTTCATGTATCACTCTGGGGCTTAGGCAACCGGACACTGAGCATGGAGTTGCAGTGAGCATGTGCAGATGTGGGACCATAGATGCCTAGGGAATGTCTAGTGCAATAATATAGGTGCCAAGAGAGGTTAGGCACCTACAAAGTCTGGAGGCTGCTGAGCGGGGAGGTTTGAATCGTAGTCAGGCCTGATTTGGGGATTTAGGCTCGTAACTTGTATTTCTCAAAATATAGCCAAATGATCTTGACTAAGCTTGTGGTTCAATATTAAAAAAGTTCAAGAGATCAAATAACCAAGCTCCACTCACTTATTGTCTAAAGACATGCAGTTCACTGTTCACAGTTGTGCTCCCATATCATACATGTGAGACTACATAAATACAGTAACCTCTTTACAAGTTAGAGAGTACGCTGTGTCACCTGAGACTAAATCTAACCAACCAGCTTTTTGTCGTGTTCTTTTGGCACCCTGGTGTACCTTTCCTTTGCTGTTTTGGGTACTGTATTCCAAACTAATTGCCCATGCAGATATCTCCATACTTGTACCAGGACAAACCACAACTGTATATTGCCTTTAACAGGTTTCCTGTTTTCCAGTGCCAAAGCTGACTTTAGCTTTGCGAAGTGTTGTGGGATACTTGGCATAGGTGAACAGAATTACAGGAAGAACATGATATATGTCAGGTAGCCTAACTACACAAAGAATTCATATTTAATATCATGTGGACAGTATTAGTGGTGCATAACACTTTAGTAATGTGGGGGGGGTGTGTGTGTACATAAAATGTGTTGGTGAACAGTAGCCAGTTAGGGGCTTAAGTCCTTTTGTGAATCTAGCTCAGTGTAGTATTGCTATTAGCAGAGTAGGATTACGTGCTGTTTTACACATGAGTGCATAAACAGCTAAAAGGCACCCAGGTATGAAGGGCAGGGAAGGCACAATTGTGAGATGAGACAGGGAATAAGAAATAAATTTAGGGAGGTAACTTCCTCTCTCCTTTGTAATCACGTGTCTTCTGGACATTCCAGGGGCTTATTTTTCTTGTTTCCATTTGTCATTTATTTTCTCCATAGGCATTTCTATGGTGCATATTACCACAGAAGGAGTATGTGGCCTCTCTAGCATTCCTAATCCTACCAACAGTCAGACAATGGAGTAGGCAGGGGAGTTTAGTGGCTGAATATTAACCCATACAATGTTTTCAGGAAGGATTTGAAGAAGTACATTAGACCTTCCATTTGATAAATAGAGATAGTGGAGCAGACCACAGAAACTTTGAAATAAGACCTGATAAGTGAAAACCTGAAAAATCATTCAAACATCCAGAAACTTCAGTCATTTGTTTTCTCTGACCAGGTAATGTGCGGGTCTAAGCGTATCTAATAAATAAAACTGATATTGCATCTATTGGTGGTCTTACTAGAAAATGTAATTCTTTTATCGAACACTGGAAGCATGTGCTGTTAGGACATCTGACTATCTTTACATATAAGGATTAAAGGAATTTATTCATCATCATTGCATGTATCCCATGGTCCTTGAACAGATGCAGAGAGTGACTTTTGTGATTCACCTTCCTATTTTCTCTAGGTCAGAGATTCACCAAGCAAATGTCCTTGAAGATGGATTCAACTCCAACTCCAATAAACCCTGAAGTTACTTGCTGTTTGCTAAATATTAGCTTTTGTTCAGCCCTCCTGATATCTGAAAAATATTTCCTCAAAGACAGATCTCTATTTTACCACAGCTATCTGCAGACGTTTCTCCATGGCCTTTTTCTGGCAGGCAACATGAAAAAATGGCAACAATCAAAGCATTAACAGGAAGACTTTTTAGCTCTTCTTTCTCCCACTTCATGTTTGTCAGGGATGGCATGCAACAACACTCCCATAGACAGTGATGTTGCTCTCAATCAGAGTACCCCATCCATAGGCTCCAGTTACATAGCTCAGCCTGCCCCATTCAGGATATTGTTGGTAATAATAATGGTATTCATGATTGCCGTTGGATTTTTTGGTAATGCCATTGTCTGCCTCATTGTCTACCAGAAGGCAGCCATGCGTTCAGCCATCAACCTGCTGCTAGCAACTTTGGCCTTTTCTGACATCATGCTGTCTTTGCTCTGCATGCCTTTTACTGCAGTTACAATTATTACAGTGAACTGGAACTTCGGAGCTCACTTCTGTAGGATATCAGCTATGCTTTATTGGTTATTTGTCTTGGAAGGAGTCTCTATACTCTTGATCATTAGTGTGGACCGTTTCTTAATTATTGTTCAGCGGCAAGACAAGCTGAACCCTCACCGTGCCAAAGTCCTCATTGCCATGTCTTGGGCACTGTCCTTCTGCATTTCCTTTCCTTCAGTGATTGGACGGACCTTTGTGGAAGTACCAGCCCGGGCTCCCCAGTGTGTTCTGGGGTACACTGAATTTCCTGCTGACCGAGCTTATGCCGTGATGCTAGTTGTGGCAGTTTTCTTCATGCCTTTCAGTGTCATGCTGTATTCTTACCTTTGCATTCTAAATACCGTGCGGCGCAATGCCCTAAGGATCCACAACCATGCTGAGAGCCTTTGCTTGGGCCAGGTGAGCAAACTAAGCCTCATGGGACTACAGAAGCCTCAGCAGATGAATGTGGACATGAGCTTCAAAACCAGAGCCTTCACTACAATTCTCATTCTGTTCATTGGCTTTTCACTCTGCTGGCTTCCACACACCGTGTTCAGCTTGCTCTCTGTGTTTAGCAGACAGTTCTACTACAGCCCTTCTTTCTACATCACCAGCACCTACATCTTGTGGCTGAGTTACCTCAAGTCAGTGTTTAACCCTGTCGTCTACTGCTGGAGAATCAAGAAATTCCGTGAGGCCTGCATGGAGTTCATGCCTAAAACATTCAAGATCCTTCCTAAAGTGCCTGGACGAACAAAGAGGAGAATCCAGCCAAGTACAATATACATCTGTAGTGAGACCCAGTCAGCTGTTTAGGAAGAAGCTGTGGGCCAGTGAGGGAAAAGTTATGAAAGGACTGGTTAAAGTGGCAATAGTTCATTTCTACTATTTACTTTCTGCAGTTGTCACAAATCTTTAAAAGGATGCTGTGCTCCATTGTTCTGTGTGTTAAGATTGTATTTCTAACTTCCCCAAGCTTACAAATAACTCATTAGTACTGCTTCAATTAAAACCACTTGGGGCAATAATGTTGCAATACTTGGTGCCGTGTAAAAATGTCACTTGTGACCAAATATATAGTCACACACCAATAGCTCTAGAAGCTGGTACTAGGTGGGGTGCATATGGCCACTAACACATTTTTATATTGTGACAATGACTAACAGTTGTGTAGCTTTTCATTTTTTAAAATAGCCATAGCTGTCATGTCCTGTGCAGCTCCCCAAGTGAGATTTTTCATGGAGGAGCTTTTTCTCACTGTGCTTGTCTTCTATTACCTAATTTGTTCATCGACACTTGTATACACTTTCCATCAGAGAATCTTAATATAACACATACCTGTGAGATGGCTCTTGCCTCCATTTTACAGATGAGAAACTGAGGCACATAAAGGCGGTCTCGGGGGACACTGCCACTCTATTGCAGACCAGAAACAGAGTGCTGAAGTCCTGGCTTCCAATCTCATGCATTGACCTGTAGCCTATCCTTCTTTTATTTCTATCTTCAGCATTCTCTCCTCTCTTGGTTACATACGTTCATTTCCTTTTGTGTTCATCGCTCTTGTTTGACCTAGTTCTTTCTCCCCCTGCAGAGGCCTTTGTTTTCCAGTTCTACCTTCCCAGCATTTTCCTTGTCACTGCCCTCTGGTCCTGTCCTACTTCCCCAGTTTGTCAAGCTGTATCCTGTATCTCACCCCAAGATTGGTCCTTCCACGCATGCCATGCGTGTTATCTCTCCGTGATCCTGTCCCTTGCGTAGGGAATGTGGTGGTGGTACATGTGCCTCTTGGCCCTAAACGGCAACAAGAGGTAGATGCGCAAGAGAACCCATATGAAGCATCCAGTGCTGGTTAGCTTTTCCTTCATGCTGCCTGCTGCAATATGCTGCTCTGAGGGATCGAGAGAGCAGCGAGAAAAAGGAAAAAGTCTGGACTCCCTCACAGTAGGAGGAGGAACAGCAAGGGAAACCTTTAGTCCACATGACCCTGTTTATGCATATCAGCTGTTATGTATGACAGTAACAGCTGGGGCAGATGCATGATTGTCATGCCAGCAGTGGCCTTTAAATTGCTTAGACTTGGTGCACTCAAGTTAATTTGCAATAACCTGTTTTATTAAAGATTCAAATGCACAAACTAAACTGCTCTAAAGCAGTCCCATTCAGTGCTACCAGTCCATGCAGTCAGACCAGCATCGTCTCATGAATAAAAGCTGCTGAGAGAGCAAACAGGCTGTATGGAAAACTGCCTAGTATTCCTGTTTCTTACAACCTAAAGCCAGCTTCCCTCATGTTAGGTACATAACTAGGATTGGCAGATATTTTTTTTTTTAAATCCCATTTTCCCCATAGGGAGTTGTTCTGCCATCATCTTTTCCCCCCAAAAGAACAATTTAAGACTTGGTACAATAATTCAAGAAAACATCTGACATTGAGGGATCTATTGATCAGTGATCAAACTTCAGTGGAAAACCAAAGAATGGAAAACCTTGTGGTACAACCTTAGTTATAGAAAGACTATAAAGTTACTACTAACTAAAATCGGTGAAGCAGCCAACCACAGGGTGTCTCAGCTCTAGTACAGAGGTGCCCCTTTCTGTATCCCCTCTCGCGGGGAAGGTTGCATCAGTACTGAGAAACAATTAGATAGTTACAATAAAATGGCTGCAATGTCTGATTTCAGGGAGGCTGTACAGTTTAAAAAAAAAAAAAATTTCAATTACCGTCCCGTTAGAATGGAGGATATGTTTAAAATCTATACCTAATTAAAACTATAGGTTTGGAGAAAAGTAGAGTACTCCAAATTATCTGAACATCATTCTAACATAGGGGTTAATGTTAAAGTGTAATAGCTGATGGCCTGGAAAGCAAGTGTCAAAAAATATGATTAACCTCACACTTTTTGCAAGATAGCATAGCCAGAGCTACTCTACAGTTGGATGCAAATGCAATGCCCAAAATTTGCATGGCCAGACCAGCTCCAGCTGTCAAAAACAAGTTAAGGACCAATGCTAAGGTCTTTTGGAGCCAGTGGCCTTTTCCAAATGCACATCATATAAGTAGCAAGCAATGATATGAAATAACAATCACGTTGACCCTATCACTGCATAATGATGTGATTGAGCAAACTGTAGATTGATAGCATGTATGAATTTGGCTCACAGGACAAGGTATTAAAGGTGACATCCACAGCTTTGAGGACATTTGGCTGACTGATTTGAAAACACCAAGGCATGCACGTACATAATGCAACTGCAGTTGCAGTTTCTTCCTGAAAAGTTACACGTCCTATGATTAGGAAGACAGAGCTACTTTCATGTGTCTGTAACAGTCCCTCCTCCCTAGGTCTGTGGGGATAGACAGAGGACTTTCAACATCAAAGCAAAGACTGCCACCATTTGAGCTAAAGCAGTGACTAGCAGATGCCTGCTCTCTCATGAGCATCAAGATAGGGACATGTTACAGCTAATGTCATCCTAAAGACTAAACCTTTTTAAAGGGATGCATTGTGATGAGGTTTCAGAGTAGCAGCCGTGTTAGTCTCTATCCGCTGTTCCTCAGACGTTCTTGTCAACTGCTGGAAATGGCCCACCTTGATTATCGCTACAAAAGGTTCCCTCTCCCCCCACCCCGCTCTCCTGCTGGTAATAGCTCACCTTACCTAATCACTCTCGTTACAGTGTATATGGTAACACCCATTGTTTCATGTTCTCTGTGTATATAAATTTCCCCACTGTATTTTCCACTGAATGCATCCGATGAAGTGAGCTGTAGCTCATGAAAGCTCATGCTCAAATAAATTTGTTAGTCTCTAAGGTGCCACAAGTACTCCTTTTCTTATTGTGATGAGAGGCGTTTTTAGCAACCAGCTAGGTGTCCAAGCCACTGCCAATAATTGGGATGGACTATCAATTATTCTGCTTATTGCATTTAGCAGGCCTTTGCAGGAACTTAGCTTAACTAAGGCAAAGCTGGGAGGGAGGAGGCAGCAATCACATGGAATGTGCCTGAGTCTATGTCCTCTCTGATGCATCTGAAGAAGTGCTTTTTTTGCCCATGAAAGCTTATGCCCAAATAACTCTGTTAGTCTTTAAGGTGCCACCGGACTCCTTGTTGTTTTTGTGGATACAGACTAAAACGGCTACCCCCTGATACTACGTCCTCTCTGATATGCTTGGGTAAGCATCTGTGAAAAACAGGAAGGCTATCTATATTTGACTTCTGATGGGGGAGGGGGGGGTCAGACGGACATGAGACTGCAGACTCTGCAAAAACACATCTGTAAAACTAATGGCTTAAAAAATGCTTGCTTAATGTTTTTTCTTTGATTGACATGTTGTTGGTGTAATTGTAGCTGTTACTAACATAAATGGGGTAGACAGGTCTGAGGAATTTGGATTTGACCTTCTGGACATCTCTTGGAATCCCAGTGACAGGCGGATAGCTGGCCACTTGGACCTTGTCATTTGACCACTTGTGACCCCTCTAGGCCGTAGGTAACTAGTGTTTGCGGGTGCTGTATAACTAAGGCTCTGAGTTTGTCACGGAAGTCATGGATTTTGTGACTTTCCAGGTCCTCTGTGACTTCTGCAGTGGCTGGTGCAGCTGGCCCCACTGAGCAGTCTTGAGCCACTATGCCCTCTCCCCACAGCAACAGCAGGAGTTTGGGTGTGGGAGAGGCCTCAGAGCTGGGGCTGGAGCATGGTGGGGGGTAAGGGCTCTGGGCGATGCTTTCCTCGGGGGGAGGGGAGGGCTCCCTAGAAGCAGTGACATCCCTCAGCTCCTAGGCGGAGGTGTGGCCAGGCTGATCTCTGTGCTGCCTCCGCCTGCACGCACCACCCCCGCAACTCCCATTGGCCATGGTTCCCAGCCAGTGGAAGCTGTGGAGTTGGTGCTTGGGGCAGAGACAACACACACAGCTGCCTGGTCATGCCTCCACCTAGGAACTGAGAGATGTCGCCACTTCCTGGGAGGCACAGAGCCAGGTAGGGAACCTGCCAACCCTGGCAACTCCCCTCCCCGCCCAGCACCACTAGGGGTCCTGGGGAGCCCCCCCCCGCCCCCCCTCTCCCCCCGCTGCCCCAAAGACCCATGGGCCACCCTCCCCAGGACCTGCGGCATCCCCAGGCTGCCCTCTCCACCCCAAGATTTAGTCAGGGGTATATAGTACAATCATGGACAGGTCACGGGCCATGAATTTTTGTTTCCTGCCCATGACCTATCCATGACTTTTACTAAAAATCCCTGTGACTAAAACGTAGCCTTATGTATAACCTATTGTGTTTGTATGTGCTTGAGACTAAATAAAGCAGAGACTTTGAGTAAAGGCATTCTGGTGAGAGTGCTGGAGACTAATAAAGTGAGGGCTTTAAGTAAAAGCTCTTGATTGTGTGTGATTTATGCCAGCCATATAGCAGAGGGAGGTGCTGCATTTCCCTTGGTTTATTTTCTGCTACTGCCTTGCAGAGAGTAAAGTTACTGAGTGCTTTGCATTTAGAGAGCTCCACGTAACAGATTTTGAGGCCACAGCAAGGACGGCTGAGAGGAAGGAGATGCTGGGCATAAACAGTTTGTTTTGTTACAGTAGAGATTAGAGGACTGCAGGACAGGGTCACTCTCTACACTTCCTGTGTTGTAACTTGCATGTCAATTGACAGGGCTCAGGTCGGTGACCTGGTTGAGAGAGAACTTATGCCCAAAGAAAAGGGAACTTTTGGAAAGATGGAGACACTCGGCGTGATGTTGGGTAACAGCTTGACTGATTTTGTACAGGAACATGGTAATGGTTTTTGGAAGCTCAGTCTTTACCCTCCCTGGAGCTCTGTAAGCAATGGGGAAGCTGGGTCCGGGTGGGAATGTGGATGGCAGCGACAGTATTCGACAAAGAGAGATTGGGGTTGAAGGAGAGGGTGCAAGAGTTAGAAAAAGTGAACGCCAGCGTGAAAGCCGAATCAGATCCCCTCAGAGCAACCACATTGCCTCAGACAGTACAGCAGCAAGCCTGCGACAGTGAGAGAGAGAGAGAGAGAGAGAGGGGTTGCAGCAGGAAGTATTTGAGTTGCAGAAGCAGACTGATAGCAGCAAGGTGAAAGTTTTACTGAACAATCCCAGGATAAGATCCAGGCAGATCAGGGGGAAGGTAAGAGTCACTGTTGTGCTCTCAGAGCCATGTGGGGAGAGCAGAAGGGAATAGCAGCTGCGATTAGAGGAAGTCGTAGTCCGGGAAGGGTCAACGGGTTAGAGGAAGACCCTGACTTGTATCCTTCTTATGATGATGAGAGGGATGGTCCCATGAGCTTCCTTTTCCCTTGGGCCCTGCTGGGTCGTCCCTGTATAGTCCCTTGCGTGAAACACTGGCAGAGTTGCAGATGCCCCCACCCATAGCCTCCATAATAAACACCATAATAAGGAAAATTGGTCCCCAAGGGAGTAACCAAGGAAGGGAAGATGATAGAGGTCAGGCCCTTCTCCCTTGACCAGGCTAGGGAAGCAGGGAAATCAGTTGGCCCGTTAAACCGGAGTACAGCTTTGGGATGGCTGGCTAGGGTAGCTGGCATCCCTGTCTCACTCTGGTGGCTGGGGTGGCTTTGATCAGGGAATACATGACCCCAGAGGATTTTGTAGGGCTCCCTTATACTATCCCAGCATCGAGAGGAGAGTGGAGTTTTCACCTGCTCTTATATGCCTGGAGGATTGGCAACCCTAGAAGGTGCCCAAAGGCATATTAATTTGCAAGAGCAGGTGACAACCCCCACTCTCCTCTTGATGCTAGGATAGGGACAGGGGTATGGATTCCCAGATGCTTGGACCCACAGAGCCCCACTTTTCTTTAGTTTGTTAGATTTGTTGTTGGTGGCTGTATTTTGTTTGTGGCTTAGGTTTTCCTTCCTAAGTCATTCTTCACACACACCCTTCTCTCCCCCCGGCCCCCATGCTTCTTTCTATATCCCCCTCTCCCCACCCTCAGTTGCTTCTTTTCCACACACACACACTCTTGCTGCTGCTTCTTTGTGTGTTTGTTTTGTTTTAAAGGTTAAGAGAAATAGTAAATTAACAAAAGAAGGATCAGGTCCCAGATTATTGTTTATTATCAGTCCAAAATCGGGAGGTTCATGGTGTATGTGAAATTTGAAGGGGTGGTGTGTGTACAGAATTTTTTGTTAGATACAGGTGCCACTTATTCCTTGATGAGTACCCAGAATAAGAAACTGATTGAACCTCCAGCTGGAGTTAAGACCTGACAGGGATTTAATGATGCAGAAAGCATTGTCCCCTGTTGTAGGAAAATTCCATATAGCATGGGGAAATAAGAAAAATAAAAGGGCGATTTGGCTTAATGGATTTGGGAAGGGAAGGGATCCTGGTAATTGATGCCTTGAGGGAACTAAGAGTGCTGATTGATTTCGCTAATAGGGTTCTGTGGGAACTGCCTCCTGGTACATACTGGGAACCAGTGGAAATGTCAGCAAGTTGCTGGATAGCAGCCCTTAAAGCATCTGATGAACTGGAGTAGCCCAAATGGTACAGAAACCTCCCGAGAGGTGCAGGCCAAAAATAAAATACAATGTGTTAAAATTGATGCAGAAGTCTCAGGCCCCAATCTCCCTACCCCAGAAGCAGTATACGTGTCCCAAGGAGGTAGAAGCCAGCCACAATTGATGGACTGTTGAACCAAGAAGTTTTAGTGGAACAGTCAAGTCTAAACGCTGCTTTATGGCTCGTCCTAAAGAGAGATGGCAAGACTTGGAGGCTTGTGGTAGATTTCCGTCCCCTTAACCAGGTGACCTTGCCAATGGCTCCCATCGTGGCCAAGTATAAGGAGGTAAAGGCCTCCATTGTAAGAGGGGCCCAGTGGTTTTTTGTGTTTGATTTAGCCATTTTTTGTTGTTGTTGCTATCCCTTTACATTGGAACAGCTACTATAAGTTTGCATTCACCTTTTGGGGAAGCAATTGTGTTTTGTCAGAGTTCCCATGGGCTGGAACAATGCCCCTAATTAGTAAATGTCATGCCCATGTAGTCAAGATGTGGGATGGGATGCCTGAGAGTGTAGTTTCTTATGTGGATGAGATCCTGATCTGTACTTAAACCAGGGAAGAGACTCTGGAGGTATCGAACAAAGTGTTACAAAAGATTTAGGAAACTGGGTTAAAGGTTAGCCCAAAGAAAGCCCTGTTATGTTCCTAGCAGGTAAATTATTTTGGAGCAACCCTGGGACAAGAGGGGGCACCCCCGTGGTCAACAGAAGGCTGAGCTGATATTTAAACTACGAAGTCCCATGGATGTTACTGCTCTTAGATCCTTTTGGGGAATGGTTAATTTTTCCCAAGATTTTATTGAGGGGTTTCCAGAAAAGTCAGCCCCGCTGCATGAACTGTTAAAGGAGGGAACAGAGTTGGACTGGGGCTCTCAGCAACAGGAAGCCAGAGTCCAGTTAAAGCAAGCCTAAGCCCCTGCCCTTGCATATCTAAGGGTGAGAAAGTCATTTGTGCTGCAGTTGGCAACTACAGACAGGAGTAGGTGGGCTGTGCTGAGTCAGAACCATGGCGTGGGGCTCCAGCCCATGGCTTATGCCTCCAAGATTCTGAGGTAGAGATGGAATTCACTCCTGTGAAAAGGTGGTTTTGGCACGAGTTTGGGCTTTGCAGCATTGAGAATAGCTGGTGCAATTGTCCCGTGTAATTGAAAACTGCCCATTCCCCAGTTAAATATGTACTCACTGGCAAAATTAACTGTCATATGCCAACCCCCGCAAGCCCTAAGCAAATCAGGGCTGATGAATTTGCCGAGCCTCAACTGGGTGCTCAAAGCACAGTTAAAAGTTCAAGAGGCCCCTCCTGGGGAAAAAGGTGGGGGGGGAGAGACAAACTCAAACGCACATGGGTCTAAGTAGAATATAAATTTAGCTGAAATGTCTAACAATACCTCCCACTATACAGGGAGGGGCAAGGTTTGTTTTGCTTTGTGTTTTAGATTAGTGACCATGTAAATGCTGGAAGTCCTTGGAGACGATGCACTCCTGTGTGTTGTTTTTGCTGGCTTGGGTGTCGTGATCCTGCTCCTCTGGTGGTGTGAGTTTGGAACTTGTGTTCGAGGCGTGGGGAAACTTCCCAGGGAGGACAGTGGTATACAAAGCAAATGATGCAGTGAAAATTAAGATCAACCCTGCTGACCAGAAAAGTTTGGAGCTAATACTGCCATTGGTTCCTGGAAGTGTTTAAGCATCCATGGGACAACAATGACTCCTCCATCGACCCACCTCCAGATGCTGCAGTGGCCATCTGCTGCAGGAAGGGGGGAAAAAAAAGTAACACCAATATGGTTAGGTGACAAATGCTAGTTTTATTTTTACTACTTTTCCCATCTGTAAACACCCTTGTGTTCATGTATGGACTGACATCCCTAATCGGACAGCACCAGGGAAAAACAATTCGCTTTAGGCTGCAATAGTCCCTTTCACCTCCAAACATTGGGCAGGAAAGTCTAGGGAAGGCAAGCCTACTGCTAGTGCCCCCAGAAGGGGAATAGAAGGTTATCTTGTTCTGCATTTTGGAGGGCCTGGGTTCTCAGCACTGCAAACTAAGCACTGAGTTTTAACAAGATCATTTGCTGGGGCTTGGCTGAGAGCCCTGAGCTTTCGTTGGATCACAGCTTTGGTGCACCTAGGACTCTTTATGGGGATGACTGCGGCTATGTGAAGGACCCCTTTTTAAGGAAATAGCTGCAGATTTCTGAAGGACTGATTGCTGAGGGAAAAAAATGGAACAGACACAGCAGTTTGCCCCACTTTCTCTGAGCTTGTCCCCTTCTTACCTCCTTTTCCTCTCTTCACTTTTGATTTTGAGTTGAAGTTAATAAAGCAAGTAATTTGCATAAAGGACTGATTCTGTTAAAAGTAACTCTTACCTTTCCTATATTTTTCTTCTTCCTACACTACACACTCTGCCTTTTTCTCTTATAAAGATAGGGTTTGCTACACCCCATTTTGAGTGGCAGTGGTAAGTATATCTGATGCTTCAGAGAAATGTTGAAATGCACGTAGCAACCTGTACAATGAACACTGGGGAGAATTCTCTTCCTTATGCAGTCCTTAGGTCTTGAAGTATAAGATGCTACTATTATGGTTAAGACTGTCCAGTCCTTTTACATTTTCAGTTTATTTTTTTAGTGGCAACATTATGTAAAGACACTTAATTATTCCTCAATGTAGTGCTCTTTAATGTTCTCCTAGTCAAGAGCAGAATAAGGAGTGATGAGTTTTCACAATACCCTTTAATTGATAGCTTCTAGGTTTGTTTGTTAAATAAATTGTACCAGCTTTGAAATCTACTATGCAATTCCTACTACTCCTATCTCTTTCAATTTCAGCTTTTTGCATTAAAGGAAACAAAACTGGACAGCACGCTGGCTATTACTTAATAGAGTGTAATGTTCTACATTGTTTTCCCTTTGTAAATACAACCAAGGATCATTTTATTCATTAAGATTAAAATTATATTTAAGGTGTCAGATGGCATACATATAGCAAAGCAATGAATTCTAGCATCTGGTACAATTAAAAGACTAAATCCTATGCCTTCAATGGGTAAATGTATAGTCAGTCTTATTGGGCTCCATTGTCCAACATTCTCAAGATAACATTCTTAAGCTAACAAAAGCAGAGGCCAATGATCATGAACATAGGCATTACCACACCAGATCAGACAAGTGGTCCATTTAGTCTGGTATCTTGCCTCTGACAGCAGCCAGTAGCAGAGCTGCAGAGGAAGAGATAAAGAAACCATAAAGTGGGGCACAACTCTGAATAGCTTGTACAGAGTCTAAACATCTCATCTCTCTAACATGCTCTAAACCAACATAGGATAAAAATTGGAAGGGATGTGAGCTTGTACTTCAGAACTTAAACCAACCTATCTAATGTAACCATGAATGTTTCCATCCATTTAGAGGCCCAATCTTTTCTGAATTCTAATAAGATTCTCTAAGATACCTTGAGGCAGTGAGTTTCAAATGTTCAGTACACAAAAAGGAAATCCTTTTTCTAAATCAGTTTTAGCCTTGGTGCCTTGAGTGGTCCCTTGTTCTTTTGTTGTGAGAAAGGGTAAAGAAGCCCCTGATTTAGCTCTCACCCTTCAAAGTTTTTTTATTCCTCATTTTTCAATGGACAAGGTCAGTCTCTCGAGAGTCTAAAATAGCCTCAAAATATATTTCACCAATGATCATGATTTAACTTAGTTGCAGCTGTCAATTTTCCTGTATTTCTTTTTCGTGCCTTGCCCCAGAGAAACCTTCAACATGGATTTGCAACTTATGACAACTGTGTTGAGTATTTAAGGCCTTGTCTACAGAAGGAAGTTGCCCTGATTTAGTTTAAATCTGCTTTTTAAAAGATAGGCCTTGTCTACACTACAGAGTTTTGTCAACAGAAGTCAGCTTTCATTGACAAGACAGTGGAGGTGTACACACTACAATCCTCCTTCTGCTGACAAAATAAAACCACCTAGACGAGAGGCATAGAACTTTTTGCAGCAAAGTTATATTGACTATGTGTCAGTGTAGACACTGTACTTGGTTATGTCACTGTAAATAGCTCCATGAAGTGTGCCACAATGCCCATCCTGACTGCTCGGGTCAGCAGTTCAAATGTTGATGTCCTGCACCCAGATACAGAGGCATCCATCCCTCCCACTTTAAAGGCTCGGGAATTTTTGAAAAACCACTTTCTGTTTGCTTGGCATGGCCAGCTCACATCTCACCTTCCCAGCTGATCATGGCAGCTCCAGGGAGCAAACGCTGTCCCGCTTGGAGCATACCACAGTTGTTGGATCTGCTGGCACTGTGGGGAGAAGAGGCTGGGCAGTCCCAGCTCCCCTCCAGCTGTAGGAATTTTGATACCTACAGTCAGATTTCTTGTGGCAGGCTGGATAAGGGCTATGAACGGGACACACATCAGTGCCATACGAAGATAAAGGAGTTGAGGCAGGCATACCAGAAGGCAAGAGAATCAAATAGTCGCTCTGGTGCTGCACCGAAGACCTGCTGCTTCTATAAGGAGCTGGACACCATCCTCGGCAGCGACCCCACCTCCACTGCCAAGAGCCCTCTAAATACTTTGGTGGGGCTGGAGACAGCGGACATCGGAATTAATCCTGAGGACAAAATCATGGATGAAGAGGTCAAGTTGGAGGACTATGTAGAGCACACAGCAGGGTTGTCCAGTGGCACAGCGAGTCAGGACCTCTTCTCCACTTCAAAGGCGTCTAGCCAGTCCCACCAGTTGATGCTGCTCGGTTATATGAGGTAGAACCCTTCTTTGCTTTGTATATTCTAGAAGTGGGTGAAGGGATAGAAATATACAAGACTAGCTGTGGTTGCATGTGCTTCACATTCCCCTGTGCAGCTAAGCAGTGCGGAGGAACAGGGTGTGTGTGTGTTAATGCACAGTGAGATTTCACAGGAATCCTCCAGAGAGATCTGTAGGAAACTTTACTGGAGGTACTCGCCCATCCTATGCCACAGGTTCCTTGGCAGAGCTGCTTTGTTCCTTCCCCGTTGTAGGGAGCATTCCTGTATATGCAGGGACCAACATGGCACACAGGTGAGCAGCATAGGGACCCACTCTGAAGCTGCACACATGTAGGACATGCACCCTGGCATCCTTGTTTACTCTCAGGAGTGAGATATTGGCTTCAGTGACCCTCAGCTGTGGAAAATAGTGGCAGAGTTTACAATATGGTCCCTAGTCACCTGCAGTGATCCTCTTAAAATACCACCTACACCTTTTGCCACCACTGTTAGTCTAATGTATTTCAAAGTCGCTCCACCAAGTTCATCTCCGCTGTAGATCTACTTAACTAGTCAAATCAGGGATAATATGGCCAGTCATATAGCACCAGAGGAAGGCCATTAGAATTGCCAAATCTGGAATGCTCAACAACTACTTCTATTGAATCCCCATAAACTCAGTCAGGGGATAGGAAGGGAGGAAGCATGGTAAGTGACAAAAACTCTCCTTCCCCTGGCAAAAAACCCCCAAATTGCCTAGTGTTCAGGAACAAGGAAACCAATTTATCCAGGACTTGTTCAAAATTTTTACTATTTCATTTGACCACCTCTCTCAAGAGGCACAATTGAGTTACCAACAGGGGTGAAAGTAAGTTAGAGGACTTACCGGTACGCCGGAGTCCTGAGCAGGGGGCGTGGCATCAACCGGAAGAGGTGTGGCCTTAACCAGAAGAGGCAGGGCCTTAAATCCCTGGGCCCTTTAAATCTCCAGCTGCTGCTACCGTAGCAGAGCCCCGGGCCCTTTAAATCCCTGAGGAGCCCAGGGGGCTCCCGACTGCTACTGCTACCCTGGGTCTCTGGCAGAGCTTTAAAAAGGGCCCGGGGCTCCGCTGTGGTAGCGGCTGCTGGAGCCCCAAGCCCTTTAAATCCCCACCTGAGCCCTGCTTCTCGAGCCCTGGGGTAGCCACAGCCGGGCTCTGTCAGGGATTTAAAGGGCCCCGGGGTCCAGCAGTCGCTACTGCCCCGGCCCTTTAAATCCACTCCGGAGCCCTGATGCTGCTACCCCAGGGCTTGGGCAGCAGGGCTCAGGAAGGGATTTAAAGGGCTCCGGGGCCCTTTAAATCCCTGCCGCTGCTACCCCAGGGCTTTAAATTGCCCTCTAGAAAAGCCGGTCTTGGTACAGCGCACCGGGTCTTACCGGTATGCCTTACTGGGGGGTACTGGCTTACTTTCACCTCTGGCTACCAATAAGCCAACACTTCACTCATGCGTATATTCCCTTCATTTAGCAGTCCCATACCAAGGCACATATCCCTCTAGAAAGTAAGTTACAGAAAGTAATTAAAATAATTTATTAAAATCAACATGTTTACATTTGTACATTCCACATACTGCTGGATATGTTCACTGACATACCGAGCAAGAAGTCAAAATAGCAGACAGTAAGTGTGAAGGTTGCCATAGTAGCAAGCTTAATCCAGGGGTACTTTTAGTTGTGTAATTAGCCATTAACTTTGCAGCAAATAGCTAGCCTTTCTTCCTTTGCAAATAGCAGCACATTTCATAATCTGTGTTCAGAGGACATAAAGCTAATAGCTTACACTTCAGACAATGTTCTACACCAAGGAAACAGTCTGCATTAGTAATTCATAGGTAATAGAACAGGTGACATGAATTAACTCATTGCTAGTGTAATTTTAATGTAAAAAAATGACGATGTAACTGTATAGAACAATCAGACTAAAGCTAACTGGGAATGAATGAGTGATAGTTTTCATTGTTCTCTACAGTAATGCAATCAGAGTGACAGCTTTTTAAATAATTACTCATGGTAAGACATATACAGAAAATGTTTTGTTGTAAAGTCTGAGCCTTGGTTCAGAGTTAAGCTTTCATATAAGAATGTATAATGAAGATATTAAACTGCTTATATGCATATATTGCCATCCCGGTATGATCAAAGATACCAGTCTCATAATACTGATGCATAATGAAAACTGATATTTTAATGAACCCAAGAGAAGCATGGCTGAGGATGCATCTAAAGCTCTTACGGCTACAATCCAGAACTTTCAATGTGCTGTAGCAGTGACCACATGGGATGTGAACACATGGCAAGCTGTTGGGCTCTAGTGTCACATTTTGAGGCCTTGTCTACAGTTGTTCAGCGAAGATGCTACCTATGCCAATGGGAAAGCTTCTCCCAGCAATGTAGGTACTCCACCTCCCCAAGAAGTGATAGCTATATGGATAGGAGAAGCCCTCCTGTTGACATAGCGCTGTCTACACCAGGAGTTCGGTTGGTACAACTGTGTCGCTCAAGGTTGTGGATTTCCACACCCATGAGCAACACAGTTATACCGATGTAAGTTTGTAGTGTAAACCAGGGCTGAGTTGCACAGCAGTAACTTGCTGTATAAACAAGCCCTTAGTGAAATGTGGCATAAACCCCCCACAAAATAAAGTTTTGGAGAGAGAGAGAGAGAGACTTCAAAGAGCATAAAAATCTCAAATCAAACTTTGTTACATACAGTACATAAAAAGTAACTGTCTCCAACACATGGATATGGAATTTATCAAGAATATTCTTGTAGTACAGTCAAGTTGCATGACAATTTGACAGATTAAGGAGGACAACTGATTGAAATCCTTTACATGCATAATTTGGACTGTTCACTGCTGTTTCTAGCCTCTAATTTGAACAGAACACTGGATTCTGAAGTGCAGTTTTTGTTTTATCAGTTATTTTCCCCCTCCTTTTTGCTTCAGACAGGGAGGAAAGCAGACAGTAAATCAGGACAAGACGACTCAGTCAGGTTTTTTGGGGGGAGCAGAGAAGAGTTGTTATACTGTCTCACCAGAAAAAATGTGAACACACTAGCCAAAGTAGGTGACTAAAGGAGAGCCTCCCTAACTGAGTTACCAGAAATTCTAGGCCAACATTCAGGGCAGGTCTACACTACAGGGAAAAGTTGATCTAAGCTACACAATTTGAGTTACATTAGTAGCGTAACTCTAGTCGACATAGCTTAGATCTACTTACCTAAAAAACTCTCCCATTGACTCCCCTTACTCTTCTCCTTCCAGTCCAGTACCGGAGTCAATGGGAGAACAATTGGTGGTCGATTTAGCGGGTCTTCACTAGACCCACTAAATCAACCCCCAGTGGATCGATCGCCACAGCATCGATCTCACCAGCAGTGGAAACAAGCCCTCAGTGAAGTTTCATTATGTGCTAGTAGCAGGCAGTACAGAAAGCTATGAGGTGGGTGCTGAAGTAAAACGAAACTCAACCGGAGAAGTTTGTTTCATGTTGATAACAGCTATCATATGAATCTGAAACTGTACGGACAACACAGGATGGAAAGAAGATTCAACTCCTGTAGTAGTGTTGAATAGTATCATTGTTACAATGCTGCATTTTATATTCTATGCTGAAATTTTGATTGGGAAGCTTACTAAAGATGTGATATATTAGAGAGGCTTGCTCTTGAAGACAGAAGTGCTTTGAACTGACTCCAGAACCAGCAATGATTGAATAAACTGCTAGAACAAGAAAAGTGGCAGAGATACTGCAAGACAGCTGATGTGAAAGCACACACACACAGAGCGAATAGTGTCTCAAAGGCAAGAATAAACCAGAAAAATGGGACTTCCAAATCAGAGCTGGTGTCATTTCTTATCTCAGTTGTCAGCAGGGCTGTTGACACCAACCATCTCTAATGAATCCCTCCCGGAGGCAGTAAACAAAGACCCAACATGTTCTTTATGATAGAAGTCTTACTAGCTAAAAACAGAGACGTTCCAACCGTCCCTGAATATAGATGGTTAGCAGGAGACACTCCACGCTGAAATCAGTGCTGCTGCTATTGGTATTAGACAGGGTTAAAAACAGGTAAAAGGCACAAACAATGAGGGAAAGAACAGGAGTACTTGTGGCACCTTAGAGACTAACAAATTTATTTGAGCATAAGCTTTCGTGATGAAGTGAGCTGTAGCTCACGAAAGCTCATGCTCAAATAAATGTTAGTCTCTAAGGTGCCACAAGTCCTCCTTTTCTTTTTGCGAATACAGACTAACACGGCTGCTACTCTGAAATGAGAGAAAGGTTAGTCATGGACAAGCACACAATGTGGGTCAGCATCTTTCTGCAGCTTCTCTCTGACATTTTGCTTCAAAGATCTTAAAAGGGTGGCCAGCGAGGCTGACAGTCAAATCATAAAGTGTTTTCAACCTCACCAGATTACTCCAAAACTACTTCTGGGAAAGTCACTCTTTAAGCAGAGTCATTAAAGAGTGTAGTCAGCCATGTTTTCACTGTCCTCTGTGGAACCTGGATTTATCTTTGGATCACTTTCATTTGGAAATTCTGGCAAGTTTCCAAACATAGGTTATACACAGTTTAGTGATGCTGCATTAATGTACGGATTTCTACAAAATTTGAATTTAATCGGAGGTAAATTCTCAAAGTGGACGACAATAGCAGAAATAGAAAAGTTGTAGAATATGATGCTATAACTGAAGAGGTTTTGAAACAAATGCCTTGCAAATTTCTCTAGAATTAGAAGTTTAATTATGGTCTTTGTGCCAGAGGCAGTAGTCCCAGAAACCTGCTAATTTATTTTTTGCTGAGTTGTTTTGAGACAAATTAATTTATACTGCTTAATTTTTCCAACAGGCTTCCTGTCAAAGAAAGGTGTTTCTCTAAATTTTAGAATTGTACTCAAAATGTACACAGCTGTAGTTAATACACTGAAAGCAGTAAGTGATATAGAAGTTGAAATTCAAGCAGCAATATATTGTCCCCTACCACGCCCCCCAAGATTACACTTAAGGTTTTAATTTAAGCATCTTTTTTGCCCATTATCCTTCCAGTTCAGGTTAGATTATGTTATTCTACACTATCCATTTTTGTATACCCTTTAACATTTGCCTTGCATGTGTGCAATAGCTAGATTTTAATTTGTTTTAGATGAATTACAGGTTGTGTTTAGATAACATTAAATATGTTAACAAAAACTAATATTTTGTCTTATTCACATGTAAACTTAGTTAAGGTGTTCTACCACGAATTTGCCCATAGCCAGGTATTATAAATCCCCAGGGCTCCACTTCTTGAAACGGAGTGTGAAACATCTGGATTTGACATTCTGCCTGGACAGTAACTTTACTTAAAAAAAAAGAAATATTATATTTCCTTTTATTAGTGAGACATCTTTATGAAAACAAAATTAGTGTACTGCAGCTGATATTTTTGTATAATACCTGTTTTCCAATAGGATATATAAAGCATTTCTTACAAACTCCATGCTATTGCCCACATCAAAAAATGTCTATATTCAAATCTGTATAGAAGCTAACACTGTTTGTTATTTCCTCACGTCAGTACTCCTCGAGTAACATGGGTTTGGTTTATTTTTTTCAACAATGTTTTGTCTACATTACTAACCTCTGAACTTCTTTTATTAATTTATCTGTGTTTTGGACCATATTGATTTAGGATACCCCATTCAAAAAAGTAGTTATGTCTAGGTTGCAATGCTGCTACCCTTACATCTGCACTGGTGCTGGCAGCAGCACTGCCTTCCCAGCTGGGCGGCTGGAGAGCAGCGGCTGCTGGCCGGGAGCCCAGCTCTGAAGGCAGAGCCACCGCCAGCAGCAGCGCAGAGTAAGGATAGCCTGGTCTGGCATTGCCACTCGTACTTCTGCCCTGCTGCTGGCAGAACACTGCCTTCAGACCTGGGCGCTCAGCCAACGCTCTCCAGTCACCCAGCTCTGAAGGCAGCGCAGAAATAAGAGTGGCAATACCACAATCCCCCCTAAAGTAACCTTGCGACCCCCCCCGCAACTGCCTTTTGGGTCAGGACCCCCAGTTTGAGAAACACTGGTCTCCTCCATGAAATTTGTATAGTACAGAGTGAAAGCACAAAAAAGACCAAATTTCATTGGGGGAGACCAGATTTCACGGTTGGTGACATTTTTCATGGCCATGAATTTGGTAGGGCCCTAGACATTGTGCAGATACACTTTGTGCTGAAAAATCTCGACTGACTCAATCTGAAAATTTAGAGGAGTCATACCAACTATTTCAACCATGTATCATTCAAGAATCTATTATACTTATTACAGCTAGATTTCTTCTTTGGCTTAAAGAATTAAAGTTTTAAAAACGTTTATACATAATCCTCTTATGTAGAGTGAAGTTGCCTCCTTCAACTCTCAGGCTCCTCTCAAAATTTGGTTAAACAGTATCTTGAGGAGTTCACAGGATCAGTAAATGTTATTTTTGAAATTATGACAGAAAAAGCATTACCTGAAGAAGAGCTCTGTAGAAGCTCGAACACTTGTCTCTCCCATTGGTCCAATGAAAGATGTTGCCTCACCCACCTTGTTTCTTTAACAGAACACTTCAGAATTTATAGAGCATTTACTAAACCATACCAAATTCACTCGCACCTGAGGGTGTCATTACTGACTTCTTCACGACCTCTCCTCCTCTTTCCTTCTAGGTCCTAGATCTCACACAGGGATCCGAAAGCACTGACCCTTACTATTGCAAGGTGTCCCACTGAAGTCTCTGCTTGCTGTCATAAAGTTATATTACAGCAGACATTTATAATGTAACCCATACTCTGACATCACTGGTTACATGTTTATCCTCCATGGACATTCAAGAATAAGACCAATTTATTCAACTGTATTTACAGTATATTTGCATATTAATAAATAAGTCCATATTAAAAATTATGGAAGTCTCTTTCCCCAACAAAAAAGTGACTAGGGTCTCACTAAACTGTATCAGACAGCTTCATTACAACTGGGTTTTTCAAATACAGATGTGTGACTGTATGAGGCCATCAGTTTCCACTGAGTTTATTACTTTATACACAGCAAAACAGTAGAAACTAGCAACAGGCCAGTACTTAAATTTGTTTTATGACAACAATACAGCAGAACATGGGGGGAGGGGTGGGGGGGAAGAGGGACAAAGTGCATCAAAAGCCAACAATTTGTAGAGCACAGAACAAGTTCATAATGTGATCCTGTGGAACAGATTTCAGCAGAAATGAGGACATGCTGCAGCTAACAATCGATATGCATTTTTTTCTTGAAAATAAGCTGCATCATGCCAGTCTCTTCTCTACATGGCTACAACACTGTATAATCTCTTCATAAAGTGTTCTAGAGACAGACAAAATCTGACTCCTGAATAAAAGGGTTTCTCCCCGCCACACCATGTTTATAAGCAACACATTCAGTGCAAATTTAAGTTTCCTTAAAAAACATTAGTCTGCCCCCATAGCCATCCTTTCTGTGAAGAAAAGGCTTATTTTCTTTCAGAAGGTAGATTTTTTTTTTTATAACTATACACAGAAGAGCCTATTCTTGCATGTCTCTATTTCTGATAGTTAATATTTTCTTTGCTGTCTACATTCATAAAGATCAGCAGATAAGTGGCCATATTTCACATTTATTGAAATCTTCCCATTAGCCCCAGGATAATCTCTTCATCTTGATTTATTGTTAATGTAGCTGCACTTTGCTCTTTATCCAGCACGTTTTCCAAGGAGTAAGTCATGGAAACTAGTGGAACCTGGAACTTATTTCAAGTCTGACTGTGATGGGTCATGTTAGGATTCATGAGTCTGTTTGCAGCACAATGGGTGTGAACCATACCACCATTTGGGTATCTCACAAACGCAGGCTCACAGAAAGGACTTTGGCACACCTGGCAGAGCTTTTTGTCCGAAAGAATAACTGGGCTTCCTTTTAGTTTAACCTATAAATAGGAGAAAAAACATGAATCCAGTATCACTGCAAATAAGGAAGGGAAGTAGAACAAACATAACAAATCAGGTTGTTTATAAGACAACCGTGTCCATTAAAACTTTTTACATTACAGCTACATTAGCTGAATTGCACTGAGTGAATAGATCTGGGTCACTTGATTGGGTTTTATAAAGCCCAATTACATGGATTACTTAAATTAAGTTTGACTAATTTTGCATATTAACAGCAGTTTGTTGTAACTATTCCATGCTTCCTCCTAATTCATACATTTTTTTTTTAAAATGGCACTTGATTCAAATCCTGAAGCTTCCCAAGTAACTATGTGGAATGTATAGCAAGATTTGCAAGTGTATGTTACTCAGTTTCCCTGGAGATGTATTAGCCCATGGATTCTTCTCTCAGTCAAATTCTGTAGGTCAATTTGTTAACTCTCTCAATTAAATAGACATAAGAGCACGCTGGAAGCATTAAGTAATATAACTAAACAGGGACAGAAGTTGGTTTCTCAAGTGAACATTGTGCTTACAGAAGTGATCCAGTAGGTTTGAGTTGGGATGAGTGCTGTGCAAATGTTACCACGCAACTCTGTCCAATACATCTCAATCCTGATTACAGTTCTGCAGTTCTGAGTTTCTCAAGGAGAGCATGCTAATCATGAAACTAAACACAAAATGTGGTAAGATGTGCACAATACATGCATTAGTCTGGGAACACCCAATTCTTTCACTTGCAACCTAAACAAAGTACACTAAGCTAGCCACTACTCTACCCTGGCCCAACATCATCCCCTTTTAAAGGGAAAATGAAATTGTTTTTGTCACAATGTTTTGAAATTTAACACTGGGTAGAGTTTGGCAGTTATCAGAACGGTCCTGAGAACTGGTACAGCCAGAGGAAAAAATAATTTTGGATAACTGAAGAGAACTAAGGGAAGGATTTCTTCCCTCAGGAATCAACTACCTTAGTTTATAGAAAAATATAAAAAAAATCCACGTATTTGAATTATAACAAAGAAAGCAATACACCCACCTTGTCATGTTTATAGATTAAGTTTTCAGCTTTTGCTAACCCAAGTGTAATTTGAGTCATTCTTTTTGCATGAATGCTTTCCCTCATTGCTCCAGTCAGGAATGGGGAAAGGAGCTGTACTGACCAGCTGTCAGGCACAAGCTGTAAGACACGGGCTGCATCAAATTCAGCAGCATGATTATTCAAGAGATCTACAGCAGCCATGACCAGTTCACAGTCCGAAGAGCCTGGATTTAGATACACTGAGAGCAACATATGGAAAAGCCTTTGCCTGTATGGTAGGTCTTTACTCTCAGAGCTCCATATGCAGTAATCTTCAGCAGCAGCAAAGTCCTTTGATTCGTGGACTAGGATATGCAAAGCTTTGTCATGTTCTTCCAATTTCCCATATAGTATTGCCCTTTCCATATGAAGATCCGTCCCCTTGATTTTATCTGCCAAACGAGAATCAATGTAAGACCGTGCTCTGTTCAATAAAGGGCATTATTTGCCACCCCAGAAGGAATCAAAACTTAAGGGAAAAAAACTGCAAAATACTGCTATCTAAGTGACAAAAGGCAGTATCATTCCATGTACTTTATCTGAAAAAAAAAGTATATTTTCTATAAATCTACCTTGTGGGCTCAGTGCACCTCAGCCCATATTGTGAACTGTGAAAAACACAAGAAGTTAGTACATTTCTCAGCCTCCCTTCAAATTCTGGAATCTTTCCAGTCCAAAAAGAAAACAGTATGTTGAGCAAATGTCCCTTTTATGAAAAAAGAAAAGGAGGACTTGTGGCACCTTAGAGACTAACAAATTTATCTGAGCGTAAGTTTTTGTGAGCTACAGCTCACTTCATCAGATGCATTCAATGGAAAATACAGTGGGGAGATTTATATACACACAGAACATGAAACAATGGGTGTTACCATACACACTGTAACGAGAGTGATCAGGTAAGGTGAGCTATTCCCAGCACGGGTGGGGGCAGGGGGGAGGGACCTTTTGTAGTGATAATCAAGGTGGGCCATTTCCAGCAGTTGACAAGAATGTCGGGGGGGGGGGGGGAGAGAAATAAACAGGAGGAAATGGTAAAACTATGTGTAATGACCCATCCACTCCCAGTCTTTATTCAAGCCTAAGTTAATTGTATACAGTTTGCAAATTAATTCCAATTCAGCAGTCTCTCCTTAGAGTCTGTTTCTGAAGTTTTTTTATTGAAGAATTGCCACTTTTAGGTCTGTAATCGAGTGACCAAATTGATTGAAATGTTCTCCGACTGGTTTTTGAATGTTATAATTCTTGATGTCTGATTTGTGTCCATTTATTCTTTTATGTAGAGACTGTCCAGTTTGACCAATGTACATGGCAGAGGGGCATTGCTGGCACATGATGGCATATATCACATTGGTAGATGTGCAGGTGAACGAGCCTCTGATAGTGTGGCTGATATGATTAGGCCCTATGATGGTGTCCCCTGAATAGATATGTGGACACAGTTGGCAACGGGCTTTGTTGCAAGGATAAGTTCCTGGGTTAGTGGTTCTGTTGTGTGGTATGTGATTGCTGGTGAGTATCAAGAATTATAACATTCAAAAACCAGTCGGAGAACACTTCAATCAATTTGGTCACTCTATTACAGACCTAAAAGTGGCAATTCTTAACAACAAAAAAACTTCAGAAACAGACTCCAAGGAGAGACTGCTGAATTGGAATTAATTTGCAAACTGGATACAATTAACTTAGGCTTGAATAAAGACTGGGAGTGGATGGGTCATTACACAAAGTAAAACTATTTCCCCATGTTTATTTTTCCCCCCACCTGCCGCCGCTGTTCCTCAGACATTCTTGTTAACTGCTAGAAATGACCCACCTTGATCATCACTACAAAAGGTCCATCGTCCTCTCCCCCACCCCCAGGCTCTCCTGCTGGTAATAGCTCATTCCTGATCACTCTCCTTACAGTGTGTATGGTAACACCCATTGTTTCATGTTGTGTGTGTATATAAATCTCCCCACTGTATTTTCCACTGAATGCATCCGATGAAGTGAGCTGTAGCTCACGAAAGATTATGCTCAAATAAATTGGTTAGTAAGGTGCCACAAGTCCTCCTTTTCTTTTTGCGGATACAGACTAACACAGCTGCTGCTCTGAAACCTTTTATGAAAGAGACCATACAAATTCTAATCCCAGAACTATGTTGCAGCTGCCAAAACATTAAGTGTTAACACCTGGCAGAGAAGGGCGATAATTTAATCCATCTATAAATCTCCTGTTAAGGAAGGAAATCTTAATTTTCAGCAAATGTATTTACAGTAAGTAGGTGCAGTACAACTTCAGAAATTTAATGGGAACACAAGTAATTTCCTTCCAAAATATGCTGCTTTATTTTCAGTTGGGAAAACACTAGTGTGCATTTCGAACCACCACCCATGAGTAAGCCTACCTTTAGTTCACTACCAATTTATTCCATGTTCGTGTAAAATTCTGAAATAGCAATTCAGTGCTTCCAATTTTAGGTATTGCAAAAGTTAGCAGCTCTTTGCTCTGAAATGTAAGATTTTAAAGGGAATAGTTTATACATTACTACTTTTACCCTTGGTTAGGCTTTAACCTACACATTAACATCTTCAACGACTGGCACTGTCATATTTGTCTGCTAAATGCCAGGTACTCATATGGTGCAACATAAAAAGAGCTTGCTCAGGTTGATAAGGAGTGACTAGGGTATGTAATTTCAGTTGCTATTAAAACAGTAACAGCCAGTTCAATGTATTGGTAAGAAGACTGAGCTCAAATATTCTATTTTTGTTTCAGGTTCATGAGCAGAGTCAGTTTGATGGCACTGGAAACTACAATGCTTTCTCCATGTAACAGGTATAGCACAGATAAAGGCAATTAAAAGTTTCCCTCCCTACAGTATGCCTCAAACCTTTTCCATCTCCATACCTACCCTGGTCTCAGTATAAGCTGTCAAAGGAGAATATTGTCTTTCATTTATAACAGGGTAAAAGTACTTATCTTACCTAAAATAAAATGAATTCTATAAAAGTCAGATTTCTGAAGAAGACTGCGTAGCTTAGTCTGTGTTTCAGTCAATTCCACACAATTGTCTGTGGTCACAGACTTTAGTTTCAGCACTGTCTCCAAATACAACACAGCTAAGTGGGTATGATATTTTTCCTTCTGCAGGCATAAAGGACAAGATTAATTCAATACATACAAAATGCATTACAAGACTGACAACACACCCACCCCAAATTAAACAGTGATTAGTCTTTACAGGATATTTAGTGTAAATACAATGACATGTACAGTAAATATTGTCCAATAAATTGAACCATTTTTTTAATCTTATAGACTGTGCTCTCCAGAAGATTTTAGTAAGTTCTGAAGCCTTTTGTCCCTTCAGTCAATGATTCTTCTAGTCCTATATACTATCTGATGGTTGTTAGTTTCTGCTCCAATGGGCCAGAGTCTATATCCCTTATATGTATCCTAATATTACAGCAGATATTCGTTATATAAAATGTCAAATCCTTAAATTTTACTCCTACTGAGGTCTTGGCCTCAATGGTATCTTGCAATAATGAGCTCCACAGGTGAGTGGTGTTGTATAAAAAAAATTCCCTTTATCCATTTTATTTTTGCTGCCTTCCAATTTCATTGGGAAACTCTTCGTCTAGTACTATGAAAGTATGAAAAAGAGCACCTGACCTTTTTGATAATAGTTTTAACATATCCTTCTGTCACATCCTTTTATATCTCCCTCCTCTGTAACTAAATAGTTTTAATCTAATTAGTTTAATTTAAGTCTGTTCTCTGGACCTTTTCTATTTCTATTATATACTTTTTGAGATAAGGCCACTAGAATCGGATAAAATACTTAATCTGAGGGTATGCCAAAGTTTATATAATGGCATAGTGTTTTCAGCATTACTCACTTATCCTACTTAGCAAAACTTAAGTCTGATATTTTTGAACCACCATTACTGAGGAAAGGTTTTCACTGAAGTGGTCCACAATGACACTTAGGACTGAGTGGCAGTAAGTAATTTAGAACCCAGAGTATATAAGTAATTCAAATGGTTTCTTCTAATAGCATACCCGTGCATTCTCTCAAACTGTGTCATATAATAGAGTCCGTAATCTGGTGAAAGTGGTTTACCTAGAAATATTCAGGACATCAGTTGAATGCCATTGCTTCATGGAAACAAGTATGCTCATTAGCATAGTCAGGGCTGCCTCGACTGCAGGATTTTAGTGAATGATGGGAAGAGGAAACTACCAACTTATCCCAAGAATGCAAAGTTTTGTTAACAGTTCATGTTGGGCAACTGGGCACCAAAAGTCCTGGTCCCCCACCCCCACTATCATTGCTTTGCTTTATCTGGGTCAAATCAAATCGCTTTCTCTCTGTGTCTCAGTATAACACCATTTACCTGCCTCAGGAGGTTTTGCTTCACTTTTAAGATCTGTTGTGTAGTGCTGCTGTGTACTGATAAAAGGCTATTGCGTTCCAATCTGAGGGCTGCTGGATGTCAGTGCTGCGTAAACAATTCCTGTATATGCAATTTCTAAAGTGCTTTGTGATCTTACAAGGGTGCTAAATGACTTAATTCTATGAAGTTATGTTCCTCTAGCTCTTTACGTAGGGATTGAAGAACAAGCTTGCCTCTGAAATATTGAAATTGTGAAGTTAAAAGAAATACCAAAGTGTAACGAGATTAGCAATTATTGCTCAACTGATGTTTTTTTATGACCTTGCCTACAGTAGAATTTCTTAGATCTTTAATTCCCTCTGGTTGCAAGTCTACTGACAGAAGCACCCACAAGCTCAGGCCAGCTCAGGTGTGTTTAGCATCATGATGTTTAACTCTTGTGGTAAAAGCACTTAAACCTGTCCACAATACAGCTTCCACTGGTGGATGTGTTCTAACTGGAATTAAGAGTTTAAAAAAAAAATATCTTAGGAGACAACTTTCCCTCCAGTTTGGTCTGTATGTTGCTTATTAAAGTAATGAACTCTTTGCAGCAGGAAACATATCTGTTTATTCACCATTCTTCATGTCTACTGCACTGTGCACATGAATAGCGTCATATAAGTAATAAATAAGGCTATGATTTTGTCACAGAGGTCGCAGAAGTCATGGAATCTGTGAATTAAAAGACCCCTGTGACCTCAGCCCACATGCAGCTAGAAGCTGCAGGGTCTGGCTGTTGCCCGCGGCAGACGGACCTCTGGAACTCCCCGCCATCATGGGCGGTGGGGGAACCTCTGAGCTCCTTGCTGCTGTAGGCAAGGGACCCCACAGCTCCTGGCCAGGCCCCTACAACTCTGAGCCATGGGGGGAGGGGAACCCTGGATCTCCGAGGCCCCACAGGTGATGGGAGGCACCGGAGTTCCCACGGGATCCCCATTTTGTCATGGATATTTTTAGTAGAAGTCAGGGACAGGTCACAGGCTTCCGTTAATTTTTCTTTATTGCAGTGACCTGTCCTTGACTTCTACTAAAAATATCCATGACAAAGTCTTAGCCTTAGTAATAGATGGCACTTCCATAGCTCCTTCCATCTGAAGATTTCAAAGTACTTCCCATAAATGATTTAAGCCTCACCGATGAGGCAGGAAAGCATACATTGTCCAGAGATGGAGAAAGTGTCAGAGAGGTTAAGTAACCTGCACAATATTACAGAAGCCCAATGTTGCAGAACTGGGAATGGAAGCCAGATCTCCTTATTCCCATGGTTACACTCTAGCCATAAGATCCTCCTCTTTCTCTGCCTTCTGGGTAAACTTGAAACACATTGTACAAATTTGCCAAGAAGGGCTTCATAAAAAGTGTAATTGAGGTATCCCAGTTAGCACACTGAATCAAACTTTTTTTCTGGTATTTCTGAAGAGCTTACCTTTATTTTTTTATCCAAGACTAGGTACTCCAGATATTTAACAAGTGACTTGGGGTACTTGTTAAGGCAGTTCATGACATTATCTGGATTAAAGCTGTTTTTCCCTTGTTCCTCCAAAGGCCTTTTCGTAAAAATCTGTACCCCCACCTATAACAAGTTAGTTGCATTGAGGAAGTCAGACTACATCTTTATTTTTTGTTTTAAGCACACACTTTGTTAACGATTAATTAAGAAATCAAATACAAAATATTCAGAACACACACTAAGCAAAAATAATGGATTAACAAAACATACTGAACTGGGCTGCTCAGTCACTGCTTCTGGATGCATCACATACCTACTGTCCCAATTCATAATCTATACATTGCCCTATTTGTAAGCCTTTTGTGGTAGGGACCTTTTCAAACAAATACTTCTCATTCTAGGACATGAATGTGAGAGAAGCATAACAAAATATTAAATACCCCAAAGGACAAGGCAAAAAAGGAAGAGTCAAAGGTCAGAATGTCAGCTCAGATTTTCAACCTTCTCTGGATTCCTTTAAGTAAATCTAATTGATCAACTTTTATAATGGCTAAAATCAACAAGATTTACTAATTGTGGATTTAATTACCCTGCTTCTGATACAGTGACAGTACGAATCCATGAGGCCGGGTTCAGTATCAGTTAAGTCTACATGCTAAATAGTAGATGGAATAACCATGCCTTAATTCAGAAATAACTAGAACCTATTTAGATGGTAAATTCCATGGGACAAAGGCTGCTACTTGTGCATTTTATAGCACAAGCACTCAGTTGGCACTTAAGCTGGAGTACTAAATACTCATTCATATTACAGAAATGATGGACTTGGATTTTGGCCGGTAAAGAGCATAAGCCACTCCTGACATCTAACTCCTGAAGCAGAATAAGTGTTGCCAAGAGAAAAGGTTGTTTACCCCACTTTCCCACACACATCACCACTTCTGCAACCCTTTAGAGCAGGGGCGGGCAAACTTTTTGGCCTGAGGGCCGCATCGGGTTTCGGAAATTGTATGGAGGGCCGGTTCGGGAGGCTGTGCTTCCCCGAACAGCCAGGTGCGGCCCAGCCCCCGCCCTTTATCCCCCCCCCCGCTGCTTCTTGCCCCCGACGCTCCCCCCTGCCCCGGGGACTCCTGCCCCATCCTACCCCGCTGTTCCCTATCAGGCCCCCCAGGACCCCTGCCCCATCCACTTCCCCCCCCCCCCGTCACTGTCCCCTGACCACCCCCGGAACCTCTCCTTCCTGACTGACCCCCCAGGGACCCCTGCCCCCATTCAACCCCCCTATTCCCCACCCCCTATCCACACCCCTGCCCCCGACCACCACCCTGAACTCCCCTGTCCTCTATTCAACCCCCCCGCTCCCTGCCCCCTTACCGCGCCTCCTGGAGCACCGGTGGCTGGCGGCGTTACAGCCGCGCGGCGTGGCTGGCTCCAGCCGGGCAACCGCACCGCACAGAGCACCGGGTCAGGCTGCGCTCTGCAGCTGCGCTGACCCAGGAGCTCACCGCCCACAGCATTGCACCAGCAGCGCAGTGAGCTGAGGCTGGGGGGGAGGGGGCACTGCGGGTGAGAGGCCAGAGGTGAGCCTCCTGGGCCAGGAGCTCAGGGGCCGGGCAGGAGGGTCCCACGGGCCGTAGATTGCCCACCTCTGCTTTAGAGCAATGGAATACTACCAGTACTGAACTACTAACATGTGACATCAGCTTGTGTTTTAATCTTCAAACATACACACAAAAAATCCTTACTAATATGAAGCAAAACTCTAATATAAATCCTCTTTAGCATACATGTCATTTCTTCCATTGTTTAAGACGACAGCTTAATATTGTTTTTAAACCTATTGTTTACAGTAGACATCTTCAAATTCTGAAATGAAGCACTTGCATCAAATAAATTAGATAGGAGATAGTTAAGACTGAAAGATTTAGAGGGGTAAGAAACATGAAAGGGGAAAGTGATGAAGTTATTAAATTTTACCAAGAATTTATTTTCTAGAACTTTTTGTTTTAAGAAGGGATACAATCACAAACCTCCTCACTTTTCTGTAAAACCCATTCAGCATACTTCCACACTAGTTCTTGGTCTGAGCAGAAGGTAAGGAAGTCTACTATATACTCATAGAGGTCTGAACGCGTAGAATCTTGAATGTCGCCATTAACTATTTTCACCCATAACTGAAACAGAAAAAGTGTACAAGAATTAAACTTCTTAGGAGTTTGCCTTTAATATATACTTAAAATCTTATATTAAGTCCACTGCTCAATTAAAAAATTACAGCAACATTATTACAATTGTACATCTTTCCCTGCTTGTTGGTTCCTATTGAGTTCAGTGCATGCACATGTGCACACTCACTCTCTCATCCCTTATACTAGTCCCTAATGGTTAGAGATTGGCTTAAATCCTGAAGCATGGAGGTTTACTATTCCTTTAAAATTTGTTAGCACTAACTCTGAATATCCCTTTTTGAATGTTGCTAAAGTTCTTGGCCTCAATGGACTTGCACAGTCTAATTATATGCAAGGAAATATTTTTTTACAGTATCAGTTCGGAATTTGCTCTCTTTGCTCTTAAGTTACATTCAGCTTCTGGTTTCTACTTGAATCCTGCTCTTAATGTTCTAGCACAAGTTCAAAATAACTGAATCAGACAGCAATTTAGCAAAAAGCAACCTAATTTTCTTTTATGCCTGTTTTGTTCCTAAATGCAGAACTGTATTAGCTTGCCTAGCAGCTGCAATCAACTTAGCACATTTACAGGTGTTCATACAAGTTTGTCAGAACTAGGCTAAGTAGCTGGCAGACACTATTTCAAGGGCATCAGGGGTGCTGGAATAATTTTTATAGAGGGGGATGCTAAGAGCCATTGAACCAAACTGTAAACCATGTATATAATGGCAACCACTTCAAGCCAGGGGGTGTGGCAGCACCCCCAGTTCCAGCACCTATCAAGTGCATTACTGGTTTAAGAAGTTATATGCTGAATGATTTTTCTCACCCTCCACCACCTCATTTCTGCACCAAGGACCTGACCAATCTTACCATTAACTTGAACGGCCATTGATTGAGACCCTGAAGAAGGGATTAAACCCTTATAGGAAATACAAGAACATAGGAAAAAACTTCTTAAATGAATAAGTATGCCTGTGAAATATTGGAACAGTTTTTGTTGATGCACAAACACACACCACAGCATATCCAGAGGCTGCTTTTCTGCCCAGGATCACTCAGGTGACTACCTGCCTCATTTACTTAGTCAAATATATGTAAGTCAAAGTTTATTTAAATCTAGGAGACAACCATATCCCAAGAAAACAGAAAAACACAAGCTACTAAAGACATCTTTACAATCTACTGAAGGGACTATCTTCTAAATAAATTACCAAGATAGTTATTCAGTATGAGAGGTTCCTGTCAGAGACTGAACATTTTAATGCTTCTAGCTGAAGATGCACAGATACGATCACAACAGTAATTAGGGTACACACACACTTGGGATTTCTATGTCCATTAACCCATCATAATTCTGGCTAAGAATTATTATGGTGTAAAAGTTTATCTTGAAAAGATAGCTTTTTTTTAATCATCACTTATGTGGCTTTGTATTTCTCCAACATTTTAACCAGTCTGAGGAATTAGGTTTTAAGAGAAAGTTCATCCTGCTGTGGATATATGCCAATTTTGAAATTAGAAGTTACCTAGACATATTTTCAAGGTGGTTTATGAAGGAACTAACAAAAGCTTTATTATACCATCTTGATTAAATACTGATTTGTCATTCTAACCTGAAGTGCTGCAGCATCTTGACCATTGTAGTGATGCAGGAGTCCAAGTGCAAAATACCTGTATTTTAAAAAAATGTATGAACATTTAAGTTCTTAGATCCTCTTCATCAGTTTAAATATGGTACAAATAGGAAAGCAGTGGTTTACTGTCCTCATACATTTCATGCTTTCCCTCATTTTAGAATTCACCTACCCACAAAGTTCTATATTAAATATCAGTGGAGCAATTCTAATTCATTAACAGCTGTTATTCAACCAAAATCTCATTTTTACACTATAGTATTTATAAAACTCTACCTCCTCTCTAAAAAAAATCTGATTTTCTTTACTGCAATACAGACTAGTGTCAAGACACAGCAACATGCAGTTCTGAACAAGAGTTTCCCATGTTATAAAATTTGTTCTACTATAGTATGCCTTTCCATTGTTTCCATTATAATGCCTCTCTATTTCCATGGGTTTAAAATTCTACCTTTCATATTTATTCCAATTAGCTAGTCATGTAAAGTCTTTGTCATCAAGTGGATTTGTTGGACATTTGAAACAGTAAAACACTCTTAAATCCAATGAAAATCACAACAGACTTCCAATCCAGCCTGTCACTCATCCTATGTTATACTATTGTGTAATATATTTTTGGATGTCTGAGAGGGAAAAAATAGAGAAAGGTGCAGACAGTTTTCACACTTTTTCTGGGTACATATACTGTATACAGTGCTGAATGTCAAGCACCTGATTCTCTACTTTTTTATTCTCTTCTAGGTCCTCCCCTTCTAAGGTATTCCAAAATTAATCCCTTTGGGGCTCTCATAACTGTTCCTTTCTCAGTTCAGTGGAAGCACCAGCAGGGAAACAATATCAGATTTCAGAATTCAAACGTGAAGTTTCTGGCCAGTGAATAAACTAGTAGTTTGAAAGTTAACTACTACATAATTAACTATAGATTTAATTAGAATTCAACTTAAAAGTAGTTCTGATTTAATTAGAATTCAACTTAAAAGTAGTTCTGTTCATGTACTAAGGCTTCTTTTCTCCCAGCGCAAGACATCTCAACAAGAAAAATTTTATTCTTATTGTTCCACTTTTAATTGTCACACTCTCAGATCACAAGGGGGACAATACCAGTCACCCTATCATTTGTTCAGTACTGTACAAGTAATTTAGTTTTTACTACTTAGGATTGCCAGGTGTCTGGTTTTCGACCGGAACGCCCATTCAAAAAGGGCCAGTGCCGACCAGGCCATTAAAAGTCCAGTTGGTGGCACAGTGGGGACCCGGGGCTAAGGCAGGCTCCCTGCCTGCCCTAGTTCCGCGCGGCCCCCTGGCGGCTGGTTCCTCAGAGCCTCAGTAAGAGCTGCCGGAACCCTGCACCCCCCCCCACACACACACACTCTAACCCCCTGGCCTAGCCTGGAGCCCCCTATTGCACCCTAAACCCCTCATCCCCAGCTCCACCCCAGAGCCCACACCCCCAGCCAGAGCCCTCATACCCCTCCTCCCCTGCACACCACGCCTTGTGAGGGTGGGGAAAAGTGAGCAACAGAAGGAGGGAGGTATGGAGCGAGCGGGGGCGGGGTCTTGGAGAAGGGGCAGGACAGGGGTGTTTGCTTTTGTGGGATTAGAAAGTTGGCAACCCTACTACTACAACAAAGTATCAAATGACAGCTGAGGTCCTTTAAGCCTAGAAACACCTAGGGATCAGGCAATCAGACAGTTTCCTAACTTCAAGGGAAATCCTCCCCCCCAGAGTTTTCATTTTCAAGCTCGTTAATTATGAAAAGGAAGTTCAATTTGTACTTGCCTGAACCAGCATAAAATTGGAAGCTCCCTACACACAGCTTTGCCAATGCACCTCAAGTTTGAATTTCAACCCCACCCAGACATTCCAGTCTCTCTTAAAACAAACAGAGAAGTATGCTGTTTTGCCATTTGGTGCACACACCAACACCACAAACTGAAGTGAGCCTAGCCTGACTGGGACACCTAGAGAAATGGGTTCAAATCTTTAAGTGACTGATAAACGTACAGAACCAAAACAAAACATTTCTCCCACTCCCAGCCCAGAGGTGATCTATCTAATGAAATGTCTGACTTTTTGTGTTTCTCCAGCCAGGTAGCACTGTCTGTTAGAAGACAGAAATTCTCTGAGACCAGTAGATCCAGAAGGCTTTCATGATTAGCTTCTGCATATAGCTTGAGCAAAGCTGTATCAATGTCTTCCTTGTAGCCATTTGCAACTTCAGTGCTGCGGACTTCATTCAAATAACTCATGAGGAATCGTTTGCACTTAGTCATCTTCTCCTGGTCCCCTTGGGTCAGCTGGTTTAAATCAGCATACTCGTGAAGAGGCGGATGAGACCGTGTGAATGAAGAGGAAGTAGGCAACAGGAAGGGGTAGAGAGAGATCAGCTCCCGGACATCCAGCTGGCCGCTTCTGCAATTACAGTGTCAAACTAAATGAAGCAAAGAAGAAAGAAAAAGTACACATAGGCGCGCACACACACACAAAAACCATACTGATGTTGTGTGCACACATGCTTTTGAGTACAAAGACACCTTTAAAATTATCCTACCAGAGACATTTCCCCCAAAACAAGTCTGGGGATTTTTCTAGTTCTATGGGAGAACTCGTGTCATTCCATGTATGTGCCCTAGGGCATAAGAACTTCATGATTCAGGGGGACTAGTCAGGGGACGATCAGCCTTTCCTTCTTGGTAACTGGTATGAATCCACCTTTGTAAGTACTGACAAATTAACATCCGACAGCTGTGGCCCATGTGAAATTAGTTGGTGGCCCCAGTCCAGCTCTTAGGGGACTACTAATTTATATTATTTGTGCTGGTCTCTGGTGCAATCAACTATCCTCTCACACTGGGCTGAGGCACAATGAAACCACCAGTACAGTATGTGTTCTGTAGATAAAGGTGACTGGTCCCAAGGATGGTCCACCTGGCACCTTTCACCAGCTACTACATTTGCTCTTCTTTAAAAAGACAGAACCTCAGGGAGACCTCTATGCTTTAAAATAAATTTTGTATGTGGGCTGGAGAGGGTGGTGGCCAACATATGGCAAAGAGCCAAGAAAACAAACTGTTGATTAAATGAACAGCTCTTTATAGATATACGATATGTTGTGTAGGGCTAACTAAAGTACAGACCTCTAGAGTGTTAAAACCCACCTGAGTTACAATGAAGGAATTACCAGTGTTTAAAAAGAGTGTTGCCTGTGCTAACAGAAGCCTTGTTTTTCTTCGAGATGCTCCTTCAGCCAAGGCTGAAAATGTTCCTGAAGGATATTTTGAGATTAAAAAGTCTTGCTAGGAGGAGAAGTTACTGCATATGTTCAGATTTCTAGAGCACCTAAGGATGTCTAAAACATCTGTCTGACTTATATTGTAAAGGTTTCAATGCCTGGGACACTCATCAGATTTGGACACAAGTTTAAACAGAGCAAATATTCTCACAGAGCAGACCCAGAAAGTGTAGAAAAGTCTCTCAGAAGACTGCACTAAGTTTGGAGGACCAAACTGGAGTAAATTAGAGTTGCAACTGCACTAATGGGATGACTGGGCCTTTGTTTTGGTTTCCATGGTTGCAGACACTCTACTGGACAGAACAGAACGACTGTAAACCTTCAGAGATGGAAGCAGAATGCTCAGAAAGAACAGGGGCTGCTAAGTCTCATCCTGAATTACTTTTCCCATCTTTTATCATCATCTTTTATTGTGTGGAGCAATGGAAGAAGTGTATTTATGTTTGAAGTACAGTGATCAGATACAATTTCTGAAAACCTCAGCCAAAACGCCATCCCAACCTTGACCTCTTTTACTCCAGGGGAATTATGCATCAACAAATTAAAAATTCTGCAAAATTCTGCATATTTTGTCAAAAACACCACAATATAAAAAAACAGTTTCAATTATTTTGATAATTTATTTCAAAATACCTGTCAGCAACCATGTCTCTAACAATGCAGACAACAAAAGAGAGATTCAGGAATTTTTTTTTTTTGACAAATAGATTCCTTACTAGGCATATTAATACAGAACTTTGAGTAATAATTCATTTAAACTATGGCTGTCGATTAATCACAGTTAACTCACATGATTAACTCGAAATGTAACTGATTAAAAAAATTGCAGTTTTAATCACCCTGTTAAACAGAATACCATTGAAATGTAATAAATATTTTTGGATGTCTATATTTTCAAATATACTGATTTCAATTACAACACAATACAAAGTGTACAGTGCTACTATATTATTTTTATTACAAATATTTGCACTATAAAAATTATAAAAATGGTATTTTTCAATTCACCTCATACAAGTACTGTAGTGCAATCTCTTCCTTGTGAAAGTGTAACTTACAAATGTAGAATTTTTTTTTGTTTACATAACTGCACTCAAAAACAAAACAATGGACAATTTTAGAGCCTGCAAGTCCCCTCAGTCCTACTTCTTGTTCAGCCAATCGCTAAGACAAACAAGTTTGTTTACATTTACAGGAGATAATGCTGCCGGCTTCTTATTTACAATGTCACCTGAAAATGAGAACAGGTATTTGTGTGGCACTGTTGTAGCTGGCACTGCAAGATATTTACATGCCAGATATGCTAAACATTCGTATGCCCCATCATGTTTCGGCCACCATTCCAGAGGACATGTTTCCATGATGACGATACTCATTAAAAATTAATGCATTTATTACTGTGGCTGAACACCTTGGGGGAGAATTGTACGTCTCCTGTTCTGTTTCACCTGCATTCTGCCATGTATTTCATGCTATAGCAGTTTCAGATGACCCAGCACATGTTCATTTTAAGAACACTTTCACAGCAGATTTGACAAAACGCAAAGAAGGTACCAATGTGAGGTTTCTAAAAATAGCTACATCACTAGATCCAAGGTTTAAGAATCTGAAGTGTTGTCCAAAATCAGAGGGATGAGGTGTGGAGCATGCTTTCAGAAGTCTTAAAAGAGCAACACTCAGATGCGGAAACTGCAGAACCCAAACCACCAAAAAAGAAAATCAGCTTTCTGCTGGTGGCATCTGACTCAGATGATGAAAGTGAACATGCATCAGTCCTCTCTGCTTTGGATCGTTATCAAGCAGAACTAGTCATCAGCATGGACGCATATCCTCTGGAATGATGGTGAATTGAATTACTGTACTGTATATACTCGATCATAAGCCGGTTTGTTTATAAGCTGACCCCCCCACCCCCCAAGATGGTTAAGTAAAAATGGTAAAAACTATATGACCCTTTCATAAGCTGACCCTATATTTCAGGGGTTGGCAAACTTCGGCTCCCGGCCCGTCAGAGTAAGCCGCTGGCGGATCGGGACGTTTTGTTTACCTGGAGCGTTCGCAGGCATGGAGCCCCTCAGTTCCCAGTGGCCGCAGTTTGCCATTCCCAGCCAATGGAACCTGCGAGAAGTGGAGTCACTTCTCACAGCTCCCATTGACTGGGAACGGCAAACTGCGGCCACTGGGAACTGAGGGGCTCCATGCCCGCGAACACTCCAAGTAAACAAAACGACAATGTATTAGATATTCAATTGAATGATTTCATAGAGTTTAAAATCATCCAATTTTGGTGTACACCTGTTTATAAGCTGACCCCCGCTCTATGATGTGTCATTTTTTTACCAAAAATATTCGGCTTATGAACGAGTATATACAGTACTTGTATTAGGTGAATTAAAAAATACAATTTATTTTGGTTTTTTTACAGTGCAAATATTTGTAATAAAAATAGAAAGTGAGCATAGTACACTTTATACTCTGTGTTGTAATTGAAATCAACATCCAAAAATATTTAAATGAATGGTATTCTATTATTGTTTAACAGCATGACTAATCACAATTTTGATCATTCAATTAATCACGATTGATTTTTTTAATCTCTTGATTGCCCTAATAAAAATAGATAACATGCATATCTAGCTTTTCCCGAAGGCCTACTATTCACTAGATCTGCGAAGACCTTACTGCTTAAGACTCCCTCTTCAGAGTCTCTCTCTCTCAGCCTAGCTCCCTCCACAGTTTCTGACAATCAACCCCGTTCTCACTCAGAGTCTAACTCTTGAGTGTTCTTTTGTTTTCTAGCTTTCCAGCTTTGGCAAAATAAGGTTTGCAACCTATGAGAGACTGAACATTGCATTCTTGAGCCATTTACTGTCTTTCAGGTGCATGTTGGGGTGTCAGATCTATTGGGTGACTGTCTTGTTTGCTCTTCCCACAACCCCCATTAAGTTAGATTAATACATTCATACTGGAAATTCTAAGAACTCTATAATTATTCAGTGTTTTGACCTCACTAAGCCACTTACAATATTACATATTATTCATTGATTAATACATAGCAGCTCTACAATCATCACAGTGGGAATGCATAAAGCAAGCACTTCAACCAACAGTGTCCATCCCCAGTCACCTGGAATCTGCTTCTGTAATAAAGTACTTTTACAGCTTTCCATTTTTGTGACTGGCAAACAGATCAACTGCTGGGAAACCATACTTCTATGAGATCAGTTTGAAGATGTTCAGATTCACACATGGTGAGCTGTGCTGAGTCAGTCTGCCTTCTTGTTTAGTTCTGTCTATTTCTGTTATAGAACTAGTGTCTCCTCAGCCCATTCCATTACTTCCAAGCATAAGATCCACCTCTGAGTTCTCCCTTGGTTGTTGAGGTTTGCTAGCATGCTGCTGCTGCTATCCAACTGGACCAGAACAGAACATTATCCACGAGGTGGCTGTGGAACCTTCACAGGACAAGCTTCACCACTCAATTCCACAAGGCTGATGCTCTCATTCCTATCAATGGAGCTCCAAGTGCCCTGCACTGTTCTGGAACCCAGATGTGTTCTTCACCCAAATAGGCTGGCATCTTTCATGAGTACCTGAGGGACGGCACGGCAAACAGAAAGACCATTGACAGTGGACCCTCCCTAGGACTGTCCAACATCTGAGACTCCAGTAGTTGGACTGGAACCAACAACCACTCTTTCATGAATAATGGTGTGCAGTTCCAAACCTTCAGCAGAAATTTCTGGAAACCTGATGTGGAATTATGACCATTCCATAAGAAACCATAAGGCCCTACTCCATCCAATCAGGCAATCCTATTAAACACTAGATGGGGCTGACTGAAATCATGCCTTCTGGATATAAAAACAATACAATCCTTCTTCTGAGGGAACCAGTTCTCAGGGGTATTGTCGAGAGAGACCATCCTTCTGAGGAATGGGATATTCCATCTCCTAGATTCAAATCAGGACAGATGCAGTGTCTTTTGGTGCCATAGCAAAGTCCATATATTGCAATCACCTCTGCTTTTGATGCCTAATACATCGTTTTCCCCAGACTTACCTGCCATCTTCCTTTTGGTACTTCTGTGATGTGGATGAACAAAAGGAGCTTTTCTCCCTGTTATTGGGCTTGTAGTGCCTTTGAGGTATGGAGATGTGAGGGTCTGCTTTGGTTTGGATGCTCCTTTTGCCACTATCTTATCCAATTTTTTCTCCAGAGAGGGTAAAGCCTATGAATTTGGATGAGCACAGGGTTTGTCTGGTGTGAGCAACTGCAGTCCAGGACCAGATGTGGCACCTAGCTGAGAATCATACTTCCAATGAGGTGTCTGAAATGAAAGGTGTTGCTAGGGACATTTTCGTAAGGGCAGAACTGAAGTCAGGATGGGCTTTGTCATCCAAAACTTGTAGGTCATCTAGCCAAGAGACCGTAGCTCTCATAAAACAGATAGCAGCCAGGGTTGCTCGGAGCAACTAAGGCTCAAAGTCCTTACTAAAGGTGACCTCCATCTTTCTTCCCGTTGTGTCTCTGGGAGAAACCCCCTTCAATATGACCATCATATCCTTTGCTACGATGCCATCACAGCATCTACTTTCGGTATTTCTTAATGGCATTTTTTGGCTCTTGCATCTTACGGCACCTAAGTGCATGCCTGCTCATATGCTTTTCCTTCTCAGGGCACTCCCATTAATCCTTGAGTAAGTCTACAAAGGAAGGGGAAAGCGAATTCCTGTATCAGGATGGGATCTGGATGGTATTTGAACTTAGTCTTCCCATCTACTGCCACATTTGGTTAGATCTGTATGGAAGATGCCATTTTCCTGCAGTATCAAAAACTTATCAGGGGACAACATTTTCCTCCCCTCACCCTGCTGAGATCCTAAATTAGAAAGCTCTCCCTCCTCCTGAGTAGTAGAGGTTGGGTCTGAGTAAGAATAGGAAACTTTTAGATATTTTATACTCATTCTCTTTTGTGCCTCCTGCGGGCAGGGGAGGCTCTTCTCCCCCGTTTTGCAGGAGTAACTCCATGCCTGTGGCCACGGTGGGGTATCTCTGCAGTCCCTTTTTATCAAGACACCTAATAAGAGGTTGAGCCCTTTAGATACATAGAATCATAGAATATTAGGGTTGAAAGACTCCTCAGGAGGTCATCTAGTCCAATCCCCTGCTCAAAGCAGGACCAACACCAACTAAATCATCCCAGCCAGGGCTTTGTCAAGCCGGTCCTTAAAAACCTCTAAGGATGGAGATGTCACCACCTCCCTAGGTAACCCATTCCAGTGCTTCACCACCCTCCTAGTGAACTACTGTTTCCTAATATCCAACCTAGACCTCCCTCACTGCAACTTGAGACCACTGCTTCTTGTCGTCATCTGCCACCACTGAGAACAGCCTACCTCCATCCTCTTTGGAACCCCCCTTCAGGTAGTTGAAGGCTGCTATCAAATCCCCCCATCACTCTTCTCTTCTGCAGACTAAATAACCCCAGTTCCCTCAGCCTCTCCTCATAAGTCATGTGCCCCAGCCCCCTAATAATTTTCATTGCCTCCCCTGGACTCTCTCCAATTTGTCCACGTCCCTTCTGTAGTGGGGGGACCAAAACTGGACACAATACTCCAGGTGTGGCCTCACCAGTGCTGAATAGAGGGAAATAATCACTTCCTCGATTTGCTGGCAATGCTCCTACTAATACAGCCTAATATGTCGTTGGCCTTCTTGGCAACAAGGGCACACTGCTGACTCATATCCAGCTTTTCTTCCACTGTAATCCCCAAGTCCTTTTCTGCAGAACTGTTGCTTAGCCAGTCGGTCCCCAGCCTGTAGCGGTGCATGGGATTCTTCCTTCCTAACTGCACTTGTCCTTGTTGAACCTCATCAGATTTCTTTTGGCCCAGTCCTCCAATTTGTCTAGGTCACTCTGGACCCTATCCCTACCTTCCAGCGTATCTACCTCTCCCCCCAGCTTGGTGTCATCTGCGAACCTGCTGAAGATGAAATTTATCCCAACATCCAGATCATTAATAGAGATGTTGAACAAAACCAGCCCAAGGACTGACCCTTGGGGCACTCCACTTGATACTGGCTGCCAACTAGACATCGAGCTGTTGATCACTACCCGTTGAGCCTGACAATCTAGCCAGATTTCTATCCACCTTATAGTCCATTCATCCAATGCATACTCTAACTTGCTGGCAAGAATATGGTGGGAGACCGTATCTAAAGGTTTGCTAAAGTCAAGATACATCACATCTGCCGCTTTCCCCATATCCACAGAGCCAGTTATCTACTCATAGAAGGTAATTCTGTTGGTCAGGCATGACTTGCCCTTGGTGAATCCATGCTGACTGTTCCTGACCTTCCTCTCCTCCAAGTGCTTCAAAATGGATTCCTTGAGGACCTGTTCCATGATTTGCCGGGGACTGATGTGAGGCTGACTGGTCTGTAGTCCCCTGGGTTCTCTTTCTTCCCTTTTTTAAATATGGGCACTATATTTGTCTTTTTCCAATGTCCTCCCCTTCTGGATCCTAGACTCGTTGTTTAATTGAAGGATTCTTGTGAGGAGACTCCCATAATCTTCAGAGAAAAGAACTAGTTAGCAGCCCTGCTTTCTTTCCTCGCAAGGAGCTGATGACACTTCATATTAGGAGTACTCTGGATCTCTTCTGGACAGGGACTTACCGTATGAGCTGGCCTGATGGAGTCCTCCTTGTCCTTAAGACTGTCTCCCTGAAGTGCTCAGCAACTCCTAGTTGAGCTTTTCTGCATAGCACCTCTGGGAAGAGGGTGTCCCGACATGCTGGTCTAAGACTGAACCCCGAGCCCAGCACAGCACAGGATATAATTTGCACTCTGTAGAGCCTATAAATGCCACTTCACATACAGAGCACTGCTCTGATTCAGGAGCAAAGTAAGCCATCTGTTCAGGCATTTATTTTCCTCAGGAGATATCTCTATTTCCCTGTGTTTCTTTATCCTTCCCTGCTAAATGTGCACTACCCCCCATTCATCCTAAAACTCTAGGAACACTGAGCCACACATTGGGAAATTTCTTTCCCATTCATTTCTTTTTTGTAGCATTTCTCACAATTCTATCCTCCTTAGCATGGGTTCATTAGCAAAGGGACAACATTTAATTTATTTTTGTCTACAGTTGTAGGGCTGTTAGCATTCTATACATAAGTCACTGGTTGGCATTAAGGTTTTACAAATCATATTTCAGGAGTTTCTATACTGATCTATACTATTCTAATCATTCTAAATGATTTCTGGTGTGAAGCCAAAGAAGGAGTGGAAATAGCCAGGACTTCATTGCAACAGTGAACAGTCTCCAGAATTACAAAGAGGGGAACAGCCCATGTGTCACAGAAATGTAGGAGACGCTGACAGTAAAAACAAAACCACCAATAGGGTGAGCAGCATCATTTTTAACCACACTTATGGAATGAGAACAGAGCAACAAGATTGTCAGCAGCCATTTTATTTCCAACAGTGAAGTCAGGAAGATTTGTAGAGATTTTTAAAAATGGCAAGCAGATCTTGTGGAAGAGACCCAACACTGTTTAAGAAGGCAAATCTGAATATAAAGAAGAGCTTCATAGAAAAATCTGACAGTGCAATTGTGTATCACCAGTATATAATTTGCAACTGATTCTACCTTAATGCAGAAATGTTACTGCTTCCCAAGGGTAACTGAAGAGCACTAATACATCTCCCCTTCCACTCCCTCCTGCCCAATTTAAGTACTTTAAGTGGACACTGTGCCATATTTTGCAGTTTTAATAGATTTAAGAAAGCAGAACAAAACCTACATCAGACCCTGATCTTGGAAGCTGATCTGCATGGGCATGTAATCAGTGGGTCTCCACATGGGCACAATGGAGATTAGATTACAGGATCAGGGCCCTAGTACTTTATGTCAATTATATTTATGGTACAAAAATATTAACTTAACATTATGGGTTATCCTTCATCCAGTCATAAAGCTGAGGACCAAAATAATTTTGGTCCTCTTCAACTATAGCCATTTCTACCACAGCAGTATTACACTCGCATCATAAAATATTCCTTTGAAATACCTTTAAATTCAAGCATGTAACCTTGTTCAAAGATGATTAACATGAATGTTTTTCATTTTGTCAACACACAGAATTACCTGAAGAGTTCTTTTGCTTCTAGGAACTGAAGCTGTGCAAAGTGTATAAAACCTGCTTGCTGCAAGATTCGTTTGTACATTACCTGAAAGATGGGAGAAAAGGTTTGTTAGTTTTTTGAATGGAGTCGTTTACACTATCATTACTGCAATAGCTAACTACTTCACAAAGCATTCAATGTATGATATAGAACTATGCTTCTGAATTATTGCACATGATATCAAACCCTCAGCTTATGCATTTTAAATCAGGTTTACTCAATAACAAAGAATTTTAAAAATATTCCCTACATGAAACTTCTGAATATTTAAAACAATTTTAGTCAAGACTCCTGAACACAAATCCAGATTGACAAATTTAACTGCTCACTGCACCATTTGACATCCGACTCTAAGTTTTCAGGAGAAGTCAGGGTATATATATCTTAAAAGTAGGGCTGTCAAGCGATTAAAAAAATGAATTGTGATTAATCATGCTGTTAAACAATATACGATTTAAATATTTTTGTATGTTTTCTACATTTTCAAATATATTTATTTCAATTACAACAATACAAAAATGTACAAGTGACCACTTTTTATTTATTTTTTATTCCAAATATTTGCACTGTAAAAAACATAGTATTTTTCAATTCACCTAATACAAGTACTGTAGTGCAATCTCTTTATCATGAAAGTTGAACTTACAAATGTAGAATTATGAACACAAAATAACTCCATTCAAAATCAAATCAATGTAAAACTTTAGAGCCTACAAGTCCACTCAGTCCTACTTGTTCAGTCACTCAGCTAAACAAGTTTGTTTACATTTGCAGGAGATAATGCTGCCCGCTTCTTGTTTACAGTGCCACCTGAAAGTGAGAACAGGTGTTCACATGACACTGTTGTAGCCAGCATCACAAGATAGTGACATGCCAGATTCACACGTCCCTTCATGCTTCAACCATCATTCTAGAGGATATGCATCCATCCTAATGAGGGGTTCTGCTTAATAATGATCCGAAGCAGTGCAGATCGACGCATGCTCACTTTCATCATCTGAGTCAGATGCCACCAGCAGAAGGTTGATTTTCTTTTGGTGTTCTCAGTTCTGCAGTTTCTGCATCAGAGAGTGTTGCTCTTTTAAGACTTCTGAAAGCATGCTCCACACCTCGTCCCTCTCAGATTTTGGATGGCACTTCAGATTCTCAAACCTTGGGTCGAGTGCTGTAGCTACTTTTAGAAACCTCACATTGGTACCTTCTTTGCGTTTTGTCAAATCTGCTGTGAAAGTGTTCTTAAAACGAACATGTGCTGGGTCACCTGAAACTGCTATAGCATGAAATATATGGCAGAACGCAGGTAAAACAGAACAGGAGACGTACAATTCTCCCCCAAGGAGTTCAGCCATAGTAATAAATTGCATTAATTTTTAATGAGTGTCATCATCATGGAACCATGTCCTGTGGAATGGTGGTCGAAGCATGAAGAGGCATACGAATGTTTAGCATATCTGGTACATTAATAGCTTGCAACGCTGGCTACAAAAGTGCCATGCGAACGCCTGTTCTCACTTTCAGGTGACATTGTAAATAAGAAGCAGACGGCAGTACCTCCCAGAAATGTAAACAAACTAGTTTGTCTTAGCGATTGGCTGAACTAGAAGTAGGAATGAGTGGACTTACAGACTCTAAAATTTTACATTGTTTTGTTTTTGAGTGTAGCTATGAAACCAAAAAAACCAAAATCTACATGTATAAATTACACTTTCACGATAGAGATTACACTACAGTATTTGTATGATGTGAATTGAAAATATTTCTTTTATCATTTTTACAGTGCAAATATTTATAATAAAAATATAAAGTGAGCACTGTACACTTTGTATTCTGTGTTGTAACAGAAATCAATATATTTGAAAGTGCAGAAAAACATCCAAAAATATTTAATAAATTCAATTGGTATTCTATTGTTTAACAGTGCAATTAATCATGATTATTTTTTTTTGAGTTAATCGCATGAGTTAACTGTGATTAAATCGACAGCCCTACTTAAAAGGGGGAAGGCAAAAAAGGGAAAGTGCGAGCAGACAGGTAAGAAGAGCCAGACCTTATAACAACTAGAAAGTGCTACAAAACTAAGGTTCTTCTAGTGTTTCTATTAAAACTTCAGAAGGAAAGTTATACTTTCAAAATTTTTACATACTTGGCATACACATTTTCATCAACATGAAAATAGCATTTATTTTAATTAACCCACCCCCACCTATAAAAGCGGAGGTGAAACTGACCAGTATATTTTAAGCTCAATGTTGATTTACTGGTGACTAGATAAAGTTATATGCAATGTTTTAGGTATTCCCTGTATTAACAGAAGTATCTGTATTACTGAAAATACGGAGACAAGTACACTTCTCAAATTGCAGTCTGCAGCACACCTGCTGGTGGTCACATGATGCTGGTTCCTCTTGTTTCCAGGAGCATCTACAGTTATGATAATCTGCCAGCTTCACTGACATAAATTGATTTTTACACACTGCTCTAAACAGCGTTATGAAAGCTGTCAACACACACAGTGCTAACAGCTCCAATTTTCAACTAAAGTACCTAGGAAAATTGTAAAGTATTCCTCAACAATCTATTGCATGCAGAAAGATACTGCACAAGAATCAGAGGCCTAAGGCAGGGTGGATTGATTTATAAGTGATTTTAAGTAACCAACTTTAATCATGATTTAAATCAGCAAACAGGAAACTTTGATTTACATTGATATTAATTGTATTTTGCATGTGCAACTTTTCAGTTATTTTCCTAAACAACAGAGCTTCACTCTCATTGGTTCATATAACCATTAACAGTTGATTTGCAACCAAATTTGGTATTCTTTGCTATCTGAGAGGGTATACTATCCCTATACATTTAAACAGTTATATGTATAACACAAGTATTCAAATTCTTAATTTTTACATTTTTGAGATAGACAATGGTGGATGATGCATTTCTTATTTACTAGGTAATTCTTTTACTCTCAATTTGTGTCAAGCTACATTTGAACTCAAACTAGAATTCAGTTAAAATGTATAAAAAGCATTTTAAAATGAAGTATGCTAGATACATAAAGTATCAAATTTCAATTTAACCCAGCTTTATTAAGCAAAGGCTGTAGATAGTGAATTGATGACTTGTTTCTGGTCACTGTGGGCCAGATTTTCAAAGGTATTCAAGTGCCTAAAGATGCAGACAGGTGCCTAATGGGATTCTCAAAAGGGCCCAAGCAGGGCAAGGTGCCCAACTGCCATCAAAATCAATGGGAGTTAAGCATCTAACCTCCTAAGGAGGTTTGAAAATCCCACGGGACACCTGCCTGAATCTGTAGATGCTTAAACCCTTTGAAAATCTGGCCCCATGTCTTTTTTGAGAACTAGCCGATCTCACTTTCTCCCCAACCTGTTTTTTTCTTAGATTGGGACTTGAAAAAGCAAGAAAGCTTGTTTTCCTCTTCCAACCTGTGTCTCAACTTTGAGCTAACAAGTCCAAAAGAAATTTTCTCTACACGCCTGCTAGAAAAATTTAAACCAAAAGTAATTTAAGGCCACAGCTTTTCTGCACAACAGAAAGTTCCTATATGTGCAAAAAAGCCAAGACAGACTATATATACTCAATGAAATACAAAAGTCATTGTGACATATATAAAGCTTGAGTTGACCTAAGAAGTTAAAGATATTTTCCCCCAGATTCTGCTAAAAAGCTAAAAAAGCAGCAGCCTTTAATTCATTAAAATTTGAGGAGTGCTCATTTATGCAGCATATTTTTATTTAAATGATTTTAATAGATTATAGTAAATTTAGGCCTTAATACAGGCTAACAATTTCAAGTTCAAGTTCAATTTTCAATTTTAAGAAAAATGTATTTAATTTATATTAAAACTTTTAAGATCAGTTTTTTATCCACCTTGGTCATAATGGAATAGTTGACTGACTTGCCAAGGCTCAGTGAACCCAGTAAAGGGGAGGGTTTATTCATTCTGTAAGATCATTTACAACACACACAAAGGATTGTAAATTAACAGTGACTAAGAAAGGCAAGAAGAGTCCGTTTCAGAAGTCATTTTTCCACCATGCCATTGAGCCTCTCCGTAGTGCTGTATTTCAGGTGTCCCTAGAACTGAGGGCATGTATGAACCATAATATAAATCTTGGAATACCAAGGCACAATGAAGGTTATCAATTGACTAGTGGTACCACTGAAGACCAACCCAAAAAAAAAAAAGTATTCGTGTCATCTGAAGAAGCCATTGAAATATAAATGTTAAATTAACAATTTTGGGTTTTTTTGACCAGCTAGTTTAACACTATTGGCTCTGCATTTATGTCTGGAAAAATATAAAAAGCAAGCAGCAGCACTCTCTATAGTCTGGCTGTTTTCCGGCTGCTAAAAAACTGCATATTATAGTTTGTTGTTATTTTTTGCAGAAGCGTCAAAATACAACCTGTTACAAAATAAGTTACTCCACATGCTTCTTTTCCCCTACCTTCTTTGTTTTGTGGATATACTTTGTAAGGACCTTATAAGAATATTCCACATTGTTCCTTTAGGTTCATATAAGGAAAAATAGCTGCTCTTTGCAACTAGAACTGACATGGACAAGTTTACTAAGATTAAATAAAAATGAGGTGAAAACTGGATATTTAAAATAGACTGCTATACTTTAAACAGGTCAAACAAAGTAGCCAGAGGGCAGTGCAGAATAGTAAGAACAGGTTGCTGTACTTGCAACTGTTTGAATAACAATTCACTGGTCCTACAGAATCAAAATAACCACTACAGAGTAGAATGTGTTTCCCAACCTCCGCTAAGTCCGTATATTTTCAAATAAGTTACTAACTTCCAGTAAAATGACCATTTAAGCTCCATTTCATATTTATAAATCTACAGGTGATTTTAATATTTGATAAAATTATATTGTACAAACAATGAACAATTATTCAGGCAAAGAAATGTGCACCAGAAACATTCCCAAAACAAAGCTCGCATTTGAGTGTTCCAGCAAAACATGTTCATAGTCATGTATAAAGTGCAATTTGCTAGATTTTTTTTTTTAAACTGGG